TACATACGTGTATTTAATTATCATGATTTTTGCCCTTGCTTGTTTATTTTTCTCTATTCATAGTCAGTTGAAAACAGCTACAGCCGTTTGTCCTCTCATTCAGAACGAGAACCAACAGTGGACAATTGACAATACACATACACAAAGACAGAAAAAAGAGGGAAGCACTTGTAAGATGAAGAGAGTTAAGTCAATGTGGCCACTATTTTATGAGTATACTGTATGAGTATACTGTATGTACGTGTAGGTTTAGGTGCAGCACTTGCTATCACACCTGGGTTGTAGTGTAAAATATTAATTAGGCTATGTTACAAAGGTCTCCAAAAGCTCCTAGAGCCTGAGGTCAGAGGTTTAGAAGTTCAACATCACAGGAAAGAATCTGTTTATGCTGAGAGCTCTGACCTCCAACATGGTAGATTGGCTGAGTACGTGTATTTCATTAGACTGGCCTATAGTCCAGCACAGACCTGGCTACAGTGCTGATAATAACCCTCATTATGTTTAGTCTACATCACATTAAAGTCTCAATAAACTGTACCTTAGTGCATGTATTTCCAAAGCAGAGCCCTTGGACTTTAGTGGTCCTTGTAGGGCGTCAGGAAAAAGCAAAACTGACTAAACTAAAATAAGCAAGACATGTAATGTCACATTGCACAGAATGGCCATAACATATTTACAGAACACAGATAGGTTAGTGAACGACACCATTGATTAAAGAGTTACTTTGCAGGTGCTGTGATTTCTGACCTTGCTTCCTGTTTGGTTAACTGGCCACTACATACATTTCTTTTTGAGGGCAGAACAGGTAATGTCAAAGCAGTATTATTACCAACACCCTAGTCTCCCTGTTCCAAGTCCATCTGACAAACTGTTTTAGATGCACACAACAGTGTGTGCGAATTTGGGCGTCAAGATGCCGAAATGACAGGGTCACCAAATATGTGTTGTTAGTACAATAGAGTTGCCCCCGCAAAAATCTTTAGCTTATTTTGTTGTACTACACATCCTTATGTTGGTTTACTGTTTACTTGCCCCTTGCATGGGGATATGTACATGCACATTGAGAGCCGATGTACCAGAGTCAAATTCCTTGTGTGTCCGACACACCTGGCCAGTGAAGCAGATTCTAATTGTTGCTTTAAGGATTATAACTTTGTTTACACACCAGAAAAATTAATAATGTTTCAGCCACAAAAGAGCTTTGTACTCATTATGAGGAGGATCCTGTGCAACTGCAAAATTACTGTGCAACAATGCTGCACCTCCCTGCCCTGCACATAATAACTTCACAAGAACACTCCGTCCAGAGAAACAATAGTTGCCTGTCAACACAGCTCCACTCAGGAGATGAATAGGATCAGTTAAAGCATGTAATTTTACGTCATTTCAGGTTACATTGTTGTTGGGATTTTGCTGCACTGCAGCTCAGCTGGAATCCAAACAGTGGTCCTGTTTCTACAGGCCAAGTATGCTAACCTGAAGCCGTTTGTTCAAGCTGCCATCTTGTTAACCACCACAGCTAAAACCAGTACCTCAAGCAGCCTGAACAGCAAAAAGCCCTACTAATTCATGTCCAGTGACAAACACACTGGGAAGATTTAGGTAGAAATACTGGTCTACACTGAGGAGACACAAGGCTAGTAAATGCCAAGTAGAAGGTTTTGGTGCAAAACAAATCAGTCCTTACTCAAGTCACTGGAGTAGGATAAGGTTGCAGACAAGGTTTTAAATCTGAGCTAAACCTTTATACCTGTGCCAGGTGTGATTATACATTTCTCTTACTCTCTCCTCTTAACATATTTAACTAGTTATTTGTGTTAGGTACAGTATACAGTAAAAAAGGAGAACAACTCAACTTACTGTATTTTTCTAACAATAATGGCTCTTTTGCCTTACATTGTTTATTTATGCAAGCAAGCATTTCACTGGTGGCAACTACATTTATTTTTCAATTATAATAATCCCACATTGCTGCACCTCTCACTCAAATGATAAAGAGCTGAAAAGTGTGTCTCTACCTGGGTTTAATACTAAACCCTTGTATAACTCTCTAAGTAATATCCTCCTATTGCACAGCAACCACCTCATTAATCTGTGTAATAATTAACAAATGTTGCCATGGTGATAAAGTCAACTGAGACACACTTTACATTAGCAGTGGGAATGGACTTCTTGTTTCCATCAGCCTAACATGAGTCCAGGATGTTTGCTTTCCAGCAATAACTTAAAAGTGAAGAAAGTCTGTGGTTGGTACAGTGCTTAGTGGAGCACGATATCTTATACATATTGAAATAACACATATGCTGTTATTTTCTCAAGGCATGGACCCGATGTCTTATCACCTCACCTGTGTTATTCTGCTACACACAAGCGATCAACAAGAAGCACACTCAGGCCTGATGACTTACAGATGACTATCACATTTTGACACACAGCCAAAGACTCCTCAATCCAGCCACGCTCTCAGGATTTAAATGAAAATTGAGAGAGAGTGTTGCTAGCACCCGACAATCCACTAAAGCTGCAGAATGTACTACTTTTGCATCTCAGATGTCAGCAGGTTGTTGAGAAAACAAACTCCAGTGACGTGATAGGATCTATGCTGCATTTTCCCCCTGTCCTTATAAGCAGACATTTCAGCTGTTTGCGATTGTGCAATGTTTCCTGTCATGTTTATGGGGCTGTGAATAACCGACCACCACATAAACTGCATCCTGAACTGGCCTTGAACAGAGAGCTGAGAGTGCTGCAAACAAACCTTTCAAACACCTGTGTTTAAGGTGTTTGAGGCTGTATACAGAGACAAAAACAGATGGTAACTCATTCCGTTAGCCAGCGTTGAGAAAAACAAAGGCAGTAAGCTTTTGTTGTCCATTTTAGATGCGCTGGGTTAATGTGGTGAATGCTGAAATAAATGCTTCTAGCTGCCTCAATGTAGACAATTAACTGTTGCATTTTGTTCTATAATTAGGGTCTGGAAAATATGATATGCTAGCTTGTGGCAGCATCAACCTTTTATCTGGTGAATTTTTGGAAATGTGGCACTGTGGGCAATTACTAAGATATAGGAAGCTGTGCTAAACTAAAAGGAGACTAAAAGTCTTGTTTCCTTAATCTGCTATCTACATAATATTAATACAATGAATAAGAAGAGGATAAGAGTTAAGTCTACACTGGTAGTGCAGCTGTAGTGTTTTGTATATTTAGTGGCCAGGAGTGAAAATCTCACCTGATCCCAAAGCCAAGGTGTTCCCAGAGGTTGGACAGCGAGATATCTTTTGCTTGAAAGGGCTTTCTCTTCTCCTTGAACTCGTGTGCCAGACAAATACGCCAACCTTCCCTGGGCACTCCGTATCCCATTTCTTTGGAGACATATCTGCTCATGAGGTCTGCTGTGGATTTCTCACCCCACTCTGTAGTCATTTTAGCTGGACTTCTAGCAGAAGGATTCTTAAGGTAGTGAGAACTGAGAGAGTGTTGCTGCAGAATGTAGAATCAGATGTTTGCCAATAGCAAGGACCTGTCACCACTCTTTGTCAGCAGGTGTACCTTGACCATGGAGCAAAAACAGTGAGGAGGCGGATACAGATGTCTTGTAAATCTTTAACTACGTCAGTAAAGTGAAAATAGTTATCCCTTAAGGCAAACAGGTTCTCAGCTGACAAGTTCCGCATACCCACAGGACAAGAACAGATTGTTAAATAATTGCTCCTTCATGTAGCGGGTCCAAATGCAATTAAAAGGTTCAAATTGGATACATGAATATTTAGTCTCTACAGGTGAATATATTTACATATATATATATTTCCCTTGGACTATTTGCACATCGCCGATCCCTATGCCACCTTTGCTTATACTCCGGAATCCGGGTGTGCTGTCTGCAGTGCTGGCTGGCTGAATGGATGTATGACAGCCAAAGGCCAACAGGAGATATTGAAGACCTCGATGCTAGAATGAGATCAAACAGGATGAAACGAAATTGTTAGATTGTAATGATCACATTTGGTGTGCAGCAAGCATTTCCACTAACCGAAAGTTACCGGCAAACCTCTAAACTGACAATATATCACCTTAATCATGTAACGTTAGTGAAAGCTACAGATTTTTTATCCTTTAAAGCCAAGGAACCGGAACTTTGCTCAGTCGTGATTAACAATATAAAAAGAAATGATTATTGATTATTTTTTAAAATACCAGAATGAGAGCTTCTTCCCAGTGTTTCTCTTTACAGCCGTGTAGAATAGCAATGTAGCTTCTGCTAGCACAGCGTCCGATGGTTTATCACTTATAAGCACGGTAATATTTTTTCCTCAAGTTTGGCTCTTAGGCGCTCACTAAATACTGCCTCTTTATTAAAGGATTCGCAGGTCCACATTTTAGGGCATACCTCCACACCCCTCCCGCGACCGTCTACAAGATAAGCCTTATAGCTATTAAATAGATGGATCGAAATTTTGGAGTGAAAAATAGTAGATTGTGATAGGATTATACCTGACAAGCATTACTCGGGGATTTAAAGTGCAATGAGTTGGCAAAGCGCAACGCAGTCTATACCATTTGAAGTGGTGGGGGTAACGTCAACACGCTTAAATGTCCCCCTCCAGTTGACAGATATTGATATATTTGAGTACATTTCAGTTTATAAAAGTGTGATAAAACTGATTATGTATGATGTGTGCATTAATATGCAAAAGCAAATGTTTGTAATAAATATTGAACCCTACCAGTTACCATAACAACAGACGACCTTTCGTCAGCTGTGCCAAAGGGGCGGGTTCTGAATGGCCAACCAAAAAGCTTTACTGTAATTCTACACTGCCATTTTATCCTTTACAACAATTTAAATAAATTCGAGACTTCGATGGTACGTTAAACAGAAAATATTCTCAAAGAACATATGTTTGTTGACATATGTTACCAGTTTTTACGAGTTTTATTTCCCTTATTGTTTGTGATTGGTCGTACACAGGCTATAGCATATCAACAGATTTTTTTTTTTTTTTTTATTACTGTAGCTAGTTGTTATGCTAACTAAATTGATAAGCTATGGTCTGTTCATTTGAAAAGACAGTCAAGTTTTGTGTTGTTTTATTCGAGAAGTAAGTTCTGGTGTGCCTTAGGATAAGGCACCGTATTGTCTTGCCGTATCATCGTTTGAGGCAACGGTATGTGTTTAAATTGCCCTGAAAACAGCAGCTATTAGCAAACACGACCAAACAAGTTAACTTCAGTCTGACTAGCATACCGCTATAGCGGCATGTCAATACAGAGCATAACGTTATCTTTTAACTTTATTATAATAACAAAACAAAGTAATGCAGGTTCATATTCTTCATACTGTTGGCCGTAGTCTTCGTAATTTAGCGTTTATGTTTTGTAAACATACAGATGATCGAGGTGGCGGCGTCCATGGCCAGAGGCCCCGTGTTTCTGGCCGGGGAGCTAATGGAGTGTCTTATAACGTTCACCAACCCGATGTCCCACCTCTCTACCTCTGCCAGCAGGTTGGCTTTTATTCCTTTCACCTCTTCAATCATGCACATTACATGTAAGATGCCAGATTCTTTCTCTGAATTTGCAATATAATATAAATATCGTAAGTTAATGAGAGGTGGATATCTAGATTAAGAAATGATAACCCAAATTATGGAATTTAGCTTCACAAAACATATGTGTAGAAAAGACAGGCTCCTGTGTGCACAGTTAAGAGCTGGTACCTTAACATGAGCAAGTCACGTGGGAAGCTTAAAGCTATTCCTGAAGAGTGGCGTTTGTGTGTTCTTTACAAGGCTGTATTGTTGAATAACCAATTAGTCACTAGACAGAAAAATAACTGATAACAAGTTTGATAATTGGTCTTTTAAGCAAAAAGTTTCAAGCATTTTTCCTTTCAGTTTTACAAATGAGAATTCTCTTGGTGTGTTTGTCTTCTCTGAGAGTGATTTGAATATCTTTGGGTTTTAGACTGCTGACTGGCCAAAATGCTACATTTGAAGACAAAACAAAGTTCCCAAATGGCTTTGGGAACTTGTAATATTTACTCTATTTTTTAGGCCAAATTATTAATTGAGAGAATAATAAGTAGATTAATCAGTAATGAAAATAATTGGTAGGTGATCAGTTATTTTTATTTTATTGCCTCTCATGCAGGGACCTGAGGGATGTACTATTAAAAAATAGGAGCCTATGTTAAGAACCTTGATTTGTTTGGTTTTCTAAACATTGGCTATCACAATGTTACCTATGTTGTTTATAAGATGATGTTTCATTTTCTTGTCATTTTGTAATCGGGGTAGAATTTCAGGATTTTTGCATCATGATTTGTTATGCTATTAGCTTGGTTATCTAGTTTCTTATAACCCCATATGGACTGGGAACCATGTATTGTAGGATACTTAAATTAGTCATTCAACTGAGCAATCTGTAAATGCTGTTGTCTCAATGTGTCCCAGTGAGATGCTGGCATGGGCCAGTGCCCAGATCCATTGCCAGTTTCATGCCAGTGAGGGCAGAGTGGCCCTGCCAACCCAGGGCAACAAACAAGATGTTCAGGCTGAGAGCGACACAGTGCTCATTCCAAGCAGAGGTTAGTGGGACAAAACGGAGGAGGAAAAGATTTCACTTGAGAGATCAGCAGAAATCATGATCTGTTATGCAAAACATTCATTGTATTACATTTACATTACATATTAGTATGTAAACAAATAGGTTTCACTGCAAACTAAAATACAACAAGCCTTCAGTCCAAGATTTAAAAGTTCCTAGATATTATTAACCTCCTGTTAATATCCTTATTGCTTCATGTATAAAATTCTTTGAGTCTCTGCTAAACTAACTCCTCTCTCTACAGGAGAACGTGGGCAGTGTGTACTGGACACACCGCCCAAGATATTATTCTGTGACCTGCGTCTGGACCCTGGAGAGAGTAAAACTTGTACGCTTGTGCTTACTATATTTAAAAAATGTTTACATCTTTAAAAATCTACAAATTTAAAGTAATTAATTTAATGAATGGCATGAAACTATGACAAATTAATGATACTTTTAAAAGATTTAATGAAAATCATAGTGCCTTTTTGTCTAAAAGACAACACCTTTACATTAAAGACATGAAACATTTCACATACAGTATGGTATGTGACAAGTCGGCATATATGTTTGTGATGTAAGCAGTCCAGTATTCACTCACTTTCCCACAGATTCATACAGTGAGCTTGTACCCAGTGATGGTCCTCCTAGTTTCCGTGGTCAGGCAGTGAAATATGTCTACAAACTTACCATTGGCTGCCAGAGAGTCAACTCTCCTATCAAACTACTCCGGGTTCCCTTCAGAGTGCTGGTTCTTCAAGGTAAGATGACTCTTGATCACTTTTCATTTCATATGTTTGAATTTTTCACTTCAAAGCTTTCAGTGCAACTGAGGGGAGGCGCTTACACTTTGTAACCATAAGGGTGGTAAAATAGTTACTTTAATTGTTAGTGAAGATTAGAATGCGGAAACCTACAGCAACAGCAGCCAGCCAAATACTGGTAATGTTTTTCTTATTGTAGAAATGTTTGTGTTAAGTGAAAGGGGCAGATTTATTTTGTGAAAATCTTGTCATGTGACTTCTGTCACAGTTTGCGCATGTAATGTGTGATGGCTTCTCATCTGACCTGTAGGCATGCCAGAGCCTGCATTTCCCCAGGATGATGAGGTTTCTCCCTCCAACCCCTTTTTGGAAGAAGAGGAAGCATGCCGCAGGGATGCTCGGCCTTTGGAGAGAGCACTGGACATGCTGATGGTCACCACCTCAAGACGCTCCCCACGTGAGTCACATTCTCTGTCTCTCTGCCCCTTGCTGTAGTTTAAATCACTGTTATTTCACATTACTTGTTTTTGAACACAAAGCCTCATTCTGCTTTTGTCAGTTTCTGTTATAATTGCTATTTTATTGTCTTTAAGTTGAGTGTTTTCATGTTACTGTGTGAAATCTTACAATTTTTTCTGTGCCCTAGAACTCCTTTGTTCAAAAATTATTTAAAACATACCAGGGAAACACACCGATGCACTGGGTGATGTGTTTCTTCATTATGAAACACCAGACCCATATATTTATTAAAAATGTTGCACCAAAAGCTTTAAATGACCCTAATAGCTGGAACCTCACTATTGGTTTTAGTCTCTGTATGGGGATTGTTGAAAATACTATTAATATAGAAAATGACTGACCTTATCCTTTAAAAGCAGCCAAAGGACTCAAATTTGCTAAAAGTACTCCCTTGCCCATCTGGCATACTTTGGGTTAAAGAAACAAAACAAACTCCAGCTTCCTCCCGCAGTCCAAAGGCATGCAGCTTAGGTTGATTGGTGATAAGTTGTGCCTAGAAGTCTTTATGTGTTGGCCCTGTGATAGACTGGTGACCTGTCCAAGGTGTACCCCGCCTCTCGCCCAATGTCAGCTGGGATTGGCTCCAGCCCCCCTCTAATCCTGTTTGGGTTAAGCACTATGAATGATGGATGGACAGAGTGATGCTTCTTTACCTTATTAACGATCTTCGGCTAATAGCAGACAGCGTGTTTTCTATTTCGCCACCGGCTGCACCAAGGTCACAAACCTGACAACAGCCAGTCCGTGCAAATTCTCAGTCATCCAGGTCGTAGTATGCTGAAAAGACTTAGGAGAAAGTATCTAGATGTAGTTTTAGTTAGAAGACATTTCACCTCTCATCCAAGAGGCTTCATCAGTTCTGTCTGACTGGTAGTGAGCAGGAGGTATTTATTCCCCTGGGTGGTGTTTCAGTCCAATAGTGTCCCCTAACGACTGAATCATTTTAGCTGTTCTCTGTTGAGTAAACAACAACTTGTCAGACAGATGCATGTGTCACCCTTCCACAATCTGTTTTGAAGCACTGACCTGTCGGAGAGTCCAGCTGTCCATCTGTGATGAGGTCACTCCACAGACTGGTGCAGGTTCCTTTTGGACTGAATGCTGTCTGGTGACCGACTTCCCTGTCAGGCTGTTAAAGTCTGCATGGAAACACACACTTGACAGTCTAATAACTAATGCTCATTACTAGCAGAGTTCACAATAAAACCTCAGTTAATTATTATAAATCTGATTCCAGATAATAGAGAGTAGTGAAATTAGCTAAAGTAGCTTTAAATATTACTGGTATTCTGTAACTAATCTTTTATTCATTACCATTTTCTACATTTTTAAGTGGATGCCTGTATTTGACTTGTGAACAACTTTTCTCCTCAGACATGTTTAATATCACCAATGTGCGTGGGAAAGTGGCAAAGTTCTGCATTTTCAAGACTGTTTACAGACTTGGGGAGGATATCATTGGCACATTCAACTTCTCAGAGGGAGACATTCCCTGCTTACAGGTGTTTTTACAGTTTTTCTATTTGTACCCTGCTGCATAAAATGTTAGGTTTTCCTTTAATCAATTTGTGAATTGCCTGTCTGTATGTTTTCCAGTATTCTGTAAGCCTTCAGAGTGAGGAAGAAATCCAGCAGCAGTACCAGCGGCGTCCCGGCCAGGCAATCAGTGTGACCGGACACGGACGACACTTGGAGTCATGCCTGCACACTGCCTCCAGCCACTTTTCACTCCCCATCCCCCTCAACGTCACGCCAGGTTTTAGCACAGATATAGGTCAGTCACCAGCCAGCTGAAGTTCAATTTAGTTCAATGTAATATTATTTGTATAGCACCAAGTCACAACAAAAATCATCTCAGGGCACTTTACATGAGCTGTGTTTCCACCAGAAAGTCCATGGTACTTTTTATTCCCAGGACCTAAAATTCCTAGTTCTGTCCCTGGGGTGAAAGACCCTTGAGTTTATTATGATTTGCATTTCCACAGCAGGGCTGAAGCCTGGGTAAGATTAAACAAATTAGCCTGCTAATGTAAAAGCAACGGCCTGCAGCACATGTAAAATGCTTGCTATGGTTAGCACATACCAGTGGTGGAGGACAGACTGCAGGTAAAGCTGAAATTAATTTACTGTGTATGATCTGTCTTTATGGTGAAAACATGAAATCTCAGAATCCAGAACAGTGACTTTTAGATCAGTGTTGTAATTAATAGGATGTTTCACAATCTAGTTAGACCAGATGTTAATACATTCATTCACTTATCAAATAGGGAATATTTTACTGTCACATATTGTGAAAACAAAAGTTGGGACAAAGTTGCCTCTGTAGTAGTTATACTGTGTTTTTAAGAGTGAGTCCCAGTTTTGTTTGTATTTTTTGCACATGCTCGAGTATGTGGGTGAAGTGGTGCACATTGCTGACATTTTCACATGATAACACACCAAGAAACCTACAGTATCAGTGTATCAGTAACAGGCGGGAGAGAAGAAAACTGTTAACAAGCAAGCATTCATGTAAAAACAATGCTAGCTCCTGAATATAAAATACTGTCTTTAAAAATTTTTTTAGAAGTAGGAAATGCATCCAGCATGCGTTTTAGACATCAGCTCAATTTTGGAAAGAAACTGAATGAAATTCTACAAGATTAGATTTAGTCTCACATTTACTGTAGAACATTTCTCTAAAGAAGAAATTGCTCATTTCAAGATCCATAATTTAACATCAGAATCTTATTCTTCTTGTCCAGTAACCCTGAGGTGGCGCCTGCACTTTGAATTTGTCACTGCTCGGGAGCCAGTGGAACCGCCCATTGTTCTTCAGAACCAATCAGAGGTCACAGTTTGGGTCGGGGCAGAGCATGTCGATGTGGATACCTTCAGCTGGGATCTGCCAATCAAAGTCCTGCCTACCAACCCAGTCTTGGCTTCCTATATGTCACAGTTTACAGGAACCAATCGCATTAATATTTGACTGTTGTATGTGTGAAACTGTGGATATGAGATGGCCATGAGATAATACTGCATTTCAGAGGGTATTGGCAGATAGTTGCGTGGTCCTGAGTGCGTGCGTGTGTGTACTTATAATGCTATGCATTGTGAGTACCAGTTTCAGTTTTGTACTTTGGGAAAGAAGATGTGCTGTTTCCACCAGATATGCAAAACCAGCATTTGTTTATGTCTGTGTGCAACCTATGTTTTGCTTTGGTCATATGCATTTTTCATTGCATTCAAACTTTGAATACATCTTTTTTTTTTTTTTAGGAAGATCAACACATGGTAACCATGGGAGTGCGGTTGTCTCTGTGGTTGTTGTGCATTTCTGTATTTATTTAATTCTTGTATTCATTTGTACACTTGTTCATCCTCATCTTATTCAGTATATTTTGTTTAACCGTATTTCTTTCGGTTTGAGCAAAGGCTGTGCTGAGATGTAAATACTCCCAAGAGAAATATTAAAGTGTGTTTTAAATTTCATAAACTATGTATAAGGGACTGCTTCACAGAATTGAACATAAATTGTGTTTGTGAACAAGAATTTTATATAGAGTTTAAATGAGTTACAGCAGAGAACAGGTCATACTCAGAATTTGTTACACACACACACACATATATATATTTGCCTTAATTTTGCTAGTCATTTTTGGATTAATTAAAGATACGGAATTTGGTTTAGTATAAAAATCCCAAAAGACTGATTTGTTAGGCATGAAAAATCCCCAAACAAAAATAAAGCTATGCATCTTTCTATAGTACCAAAACAAACTGCAAAAGAAGTTTGAAGAAAGTAAATACCTACATTACCTAATTATGTTAATGTAATACATCCTTCTGTGGTGAGTGTGTTAAGTCCTCTGCTGGAAAATACTGCAGTTCTGCTTAAATATACATTCACAGACAAATTTCACTCACATTTCCTTCATTGAGTATATAAGTCAAAATGTTTAGATGCTGTTACTGTTTTATATTTCTACAAAGTAGTTACTGATACATATAACAACAATAGTGAGTTTCACAGACAAACAGACTGAACAGATAGCTGGAATGTCTGTCTACCCCTCGAGCTGTTGCTGCAGCTGAAGTGATCCATGGCCGGGGTCCTTGACGTCCTCACCTGGGGTGCAGGGCAGGCGGGGGTCCGCTGTCTGCACAAGGGACACTTTGCAGGTCACTGGTTCCACCCGCACCTGACACCATGCTGGAAAGTCCACCGGCCGATGCACCCTGGACAGAGACAGAAGTAAAGGATAAAACTCGATTGGTTTTTTTGTAGTTTATCGGTCAGTGGTATGTCTTCAAAAAAGCTTGTCCATGCACACCACTTTATTCTTTGTAGTGTGAACTGTAAACCCCTCACAAACTCTTTTGTATTTGCTCATTTAACAGTGTCACAGTGATGCACCTACAGGAAAATTAACAGCCATCACCAACAGTTGAGAGCGATGATGCAGATTTTTCAAAACATGTATAACAACATTTACAAGAAAATGATCTTTATAAAAGCAAAATGCTCCTGAGCTTTAAGTGCCAGTAGTGAAAAGTACATTTGCCTCACTGTACTTAAGTAGTTTTGAGGTATTTGTACTGTACTTCATTACTTCCATTTTATCTATCCACTACATTTAATTGCTTTATTTACTAATTACTCAACAAAACATGTTTACATATATAATCAGCTATGAAATACACTGTAAAATTATATAACTGCTTCAATTGAGAAAGCTATGTTAGAAATGCTGTCTACATTAGTAATAACATTAGTAATAGCACTAACATATATCGCTGCTTTGTTCCCCATGAAGACAAATCAATTTATATTTACTAATATGAAGCATATTCTGCTTTGTTCAGTCTCTCTCAAGCTGGCTGTAGTATAGTAAGAATGAAAGGGCACGTGGACACCAAACCACACAAGTTGTTTATGTACTTACATCTCACAGCAACCAACACCAACAGGGTGCAGACAGGTGCACTGCATACAAGTGTTGTCCATCCAGGTTTCACCCAGTGAGTAGTGCCTCCCCTTGAACACACACAGTGCTGGAACAAGCAGTCAAAGAAGATGACATCACGTCTTAGAACTATGCAGTTTTATGTAGTTGAGAACACAGATTTAAAATTTCTTTGATGTAACCTGAGAGATTTTAAAGCATGGGGTCTGACCTCTGGAGTTGAAGTGGCACTCAGTGGGTGCAGCAGAACCACCACTGGTCCACAGAAGAAACGCTGCAGCTGCAAGCATCCAGTTAACACCAGTGAGCTCCATCTTAGTCTGGTCCAGTTCTGGTTCCTCTCCTCCCTTTGCACCCTCATTTATACATCCTGAGGCTTTATGTCCACGTGGAGGTGTGGTTATCATCATCACGTGGCCCACAGGCCTGGCTGTGGATGGCGTCAGCGGTGCCATCCGCTGGGAATGTGGTGGTGGAAGGGGTGAAGAGGAGGGAATCTTGTGTCTTGGCACCGTTTTGGCGCTCCAGAGATCACCTCACTGCACTTCAGCGGGCATGAAACTCTAAAGTGATAGAAACAATGACACATCCATGTGGTGACTAAGAGAGGGAAGGGTAGGAGAGAGGTGAGATGGAGGGCAGGGAGCAAGAGAGGGGTGATATCCAAGGAGAGTAGGAAGAGGCGAACAAAGAGGATGAAATGATCAAGTCAACCTTTCGTATAGTTTTTTAGGCCAGAATGCTGTTCAGAAACAGACAGTGTGACTAATATTCTTGTAAAACATGTATCTAAATATTGATCTGTGACAACACTTAAATAAATGGCATGTTTAATCTTTGATAAGAGGACTGTTTTTGTCAGAACTTTTTAATGAATTAAATATCTTCATTATGGACAAACGGTACCCTAAATCATATGCAGATTTTTATTACTATTAATTGTTACAGGAAAAGCTAGAACTAAGTTGAGAGTATTTTGTCAAACAGCTGTTTCAAGGTCATAAATGATTTTCATGCTTTATTTTTAGGCCTAAAAGTGACATAATTCAGCAGCTTTAGTATTCACATCAACACATGAGGAAACTTCATCCACTGATAAAGACCATGCCCTATGGCAGAAAACTCCACAGAAGCAAGTGGATCTGAAAGTGGAGTTTTTAAAAATCGGTAATGTTCAGTTACAGTTTGATTGAGGACCACGATAACTACTGTTAAAATTTATTTCAGTCATTCTGCTTGTTGTGTGGGTTTTACTATGTAGCCTGTATTATTTATGTTACACATGGTATTAATATTTTTATTTGCTTGTTGGCTTGTTTTCTCATGATTATCTTAGTTTTGCTGATTTTGTTTTGGGTGTTATTAACAGGTATACATTGTTATTCCTACAAGCATGTATGGATTATTGAACAGATCTACCTGGCATAGGCCCAGAGGCCCAAGGGGTCATTGGGCCAACAGACCAGAGAACCGTGAAGGAAAGTCACTCAAATAAATACAAAACAAGCCACAGAACAAGAAAGAATAGATGAACACCTACAAAAAAAAAAAAAAAAACCACTAAAGCCCCACATACAATTACTTGAACACCTACAAAAAAAAAAAAAAAACACCACTAAAGCACCACATACAATTACTAAAAAGAGACCAAAAAGACCATAAAGGCAGCAAAACCACTACAAAAATATGCCATACAACAAAAAGAGACACTAAACTACAAAGAGGTGTAAAACAACTTTAAAAAACAGACGTAGAGTAAGTAAAAACAGGTGCAACGTTTTTAAAAATGTAAAGCAAAATGACTATAAACAGACGTATTTTGGGGTGTATTGCGCCTTTAATTAAGCATGCCGGAAACCACGCCCCTTTTATACTTCCCATTGCACCCACCAGGTTCGTTAAATCGATCCACGATACAAGGATCGCCGGGTCAGTCTTCACAGCATAACTGCATCCACAATCGACTGCTGTAGCTTGGCTGTAGGTTTCTGTTTATGCTGTGTTGTTGTGTAGCTATCCATGATATCAAATCATGCCCCGTGAGACAGATGTTAAAATAATGTTTCTACCGTGAATACAGACATTTAAAGTCATCCTGTTAAACCACTGTACAGACTGATAACGTCTCTAATCGTCTAAGCGGGGTTTACGCTTCATTTTGAGGAGTGTTTTTGTGCTGATCCGAGGCCTTGTCGCAACCCCAGTCGTTTATAACCGTCCGGGATTTCATGTTGAAGTCGCCAGGTTTTGTGTTAAAATTTAGAGCTTTCGCGTCGGAAGATGGACACTGACAAATTCAACTATGTTTACAGCTGTGACTTGGACATTAACGTTCAACTTAAGATGTAAGTTTTGTACTTAATACTTCTCATTTCCTAAAGCGGTGCAACTAATTTATCTCGACTTGACAGAACACTTGCTATGTTTACTTACTGTGTCTGACTGACATATGTTTTTCTGACTTCATTGTAAACTTTCCTTGAACTCTGTGGCTATGTAAGCTGACAAAACGTACTCTGAAGATGCCACTTCATGCTCTAGGCAAGGTTGATGGACATTTTATAGGCAAACTGATTTATCAGGTAATGAAGAAAATCATCTGCAAATGTATTGATAATGATAATAACCTGCAGTTGCAGCCCAAATCTGAGTTAAAGCTTACAGTAAATACTGTGTTTGCACTTCATGCTAGTGGTTTTTTACACAAACAACAAAAGTAACAGAAGCAATGTACCAGAAACAATTTACACAGACACTTTATATCCAGATATATTTGTTATATCTGTGGAAAGAAAGAAAAAATCATAACAGCTTCTAGAAACCTTTCTTAAATCAACATAAAGCAGTCTGTAACACAGAGGTTTAAGAAAGCTAAAAATAAAAAACAGACTTTCCAAGAAAGAGTTTACAAGTATTAATTAAAGCACTCGTCATAGCATCAACCAACAACATATTTGTTTCTCCCTCTCATCACGTCTCTACTGTCTCCGTCTCCACTTCCAGAGGCAGTTTAGAAGGAAAGCGAGAGCAGAAGAGCTACAAAGTGCTGCTTGAAGACCCCATGCTGCGGTTCTCTGGCCTTTACCAGGATAACTGCTCAGACCTCTACGTTACCTGTCAGGTGTTTGCTGAAGGAAAGCCACTCGCCCTGCCTGTTCGCACCTCATACAAGGCCTTCAGCACACGCTGGAAGTGAGTCCTACACTGACTTTGTCTGTGTTATTGACATAATCACAACAGGAGTTAGAACAAAAATGCATTTTCTTTGTATATATTGTTCATACAGTTGTTTGGTTGCTTTCTGTCAATTAAGTATAATTTTTAGGGTTCAAAGCAGTAAAGTAGTAAGGAATTCTACTAATAAAGTCCTTTTCAGACATGCACTGGAACCCTGGAATTCTCTAGACATTACCCGGAGGACCTGCATGTGAGAACACAAATGTCCGAGTCAGTTGGCCCAGGCCTCAAACGGACTTTACCCTGCCAGCTCTTTAGCACAAAGTCTCCACAATGTCTGAGTAAGCCAGAGTGAGGCTGTGTAAGAAAACAGCCGCGTACAGTCCAGAGTATTCGCACACTGGTGGGCATGTTGATGACGTTCTATCATGTGACCGGTGAGAAACTGCAAGCAAGAAAAACTTTGATGGTGAAGAAAAATGATCATTTGCCCAAATTTCACCACCTGTGTTCTAAATCTACTCGATCAACAGAGTGAGCGAGCAGCGGTGGTCAAGGGACCTAGTGTCTCACTAAAGAGAGGAAGTGTTGCTAGCAAAACAAAGCAGTGAATCAGAAGGGGAAAAGGTTATTTTCTGATTCTTTCACAAGGGTTGAGTTTTAGTGCAGAAATAAACGCAGCCACACTCCACACAACCCTGCAGGAAGGAAGCACAGACTTCATCCTCCTGGGTGCACTGCACTGTGTGTGCGCAGCTGAGCCCCATGCTCAGTCAAACAGACAGACACAGAACTCATATTATGATGGTCAATCTATCATGGGAATATTGCTTTAAATGCACCGGCATTATTGGGAAACTGAACTGCACTGGTGGAGGTTGCTGACTAGTTATTTTTGACTTCTCCCCCTCTATCTTGTACTCTGTATACTCTGCCGCTGTCCTGTGCAGCTGGGGGGCTGGGGCTGCCAGTCAAGTACCCAGACCTTCCCCAAAGTGCCCAGGTTGCTCTCACAGTCTGGGACATTTATGGCCCCGGGAGAGCCGTCCCTGTGGGAGGCACCACAGTTACTCTGTTTGGCAAATATGGGTAAGTCTACCCTTGTGCTATTATTTATGGATCTGTTGAAAATGTTCTGCATTTTACTAGCAGATTGAAACATCAGTTTTGAGTTCACCTCATTCTTTTTATGTAAAGGCGCACAAAAGCAGCAGCAACAACAACAACAACAAAAAATTCCTATTGATATGTAATTTTAAAACACCTCCTACTTTCCTATTCTAGTATGTTCCGGCAAGGGATGCATGACTTGAAAGTTTGGCCTGGTGTGGAGGGGGATGGAGGGGAGCCCACCACCACACCAGGACGCACCAGCAGCAGTCTGGCAGAGGACCAGATGGGCAGACTGGCCAAGGTACAGTATGTGCATGGACAAGAGAACATGGCTGAGGATTGGAGAGAGAAAGGAGTTGTAATAGTGCAGGGGTAGGCTTGAATAGAGGAGAAAATAGATGAGTGAAAACAATAGGATGCAAGGTTATCCAGCGCACATGGTGTTTCTTACACTGTGTGCGCTGGGTAACAAAAGAAACCCTCCGTTGCAAAGCCCTGTCTAAACCATCATCTGTTCCAGGGACCAGACCTGGAGGTACTCAGTAATGTGAGTACAAGTGGAGGAGTTAGTGCTGGCCATGCAGAGTGTGTGTGTGTGTGTGTATGTTGTGTACTGTATGTGTGTGAACAAGGCCTTGTTTCAAATGTATTTGCAAATAAATCTCACCATCTTCTTTTCACACACCTCTTGAGTGAATATTACCACATTAGGACAATTCAGTCTGTGTCAGATACTGGTTCATTCTTTTGTTAAATCCCTGAACTCTCTGCATTGTTCTATGTGGGGAAACCTGTAGGTACGACAAACTGTTCCAGTACATTTACAAATACATTTTGACTCAGGTTTTGGTGTGAACACTTGTTTTCTATCAAGAGTAATGGCTGCATTTTTGAAAGCATCACACACACATTTGTTTTCAAGTTTTTTTGCTGTTGCTGTACATTGGTGTATTTTGTTAAGTGTGTGTGCATGGATTTCATGTATATGTGGACACAAGAATGTAATGTTAGTCAAATTGTTGCAGCTTTTTGACATATTTAGAGGAGGGTGTCAGGGGGTATGTTTCATTTGAACATTATCTGACTCAATTGTTTGTTTTTATTTCATTCCTAAATTAGACGCACTGATTCCTCCATTCTTTATTAACTTTATTAATCTTGAGTGCAGTCCACATATCTAAAGTTGTATCCAGGCTGCTACCAGTTCATGTGTTGTTTTAAAACGTGAGTGCTAATCCTAACAAGATGAGTTGTGGGCTTCCTGTTCATGGCCAAGTGTGTGCTTACGTTCTTGACACCCACATCGACTGAGAAGTGGATTGGCTGCTGAGTGTGTGACCGGTGATGCTGGACTGGCTGCTGGCACTGAGTTTGTGCATGATTGGTTGAGCTGTCTGCAAATCAGCCACCATGCTAGGACCAGTTCTGCTGAAACAGAACTTCAACCCTTGGATTCTTTTTACCCTACTGTCTTTCTTCTACCCACCCTTCTCTCTCCATTCAGCTGACGAAGGCCCATCGACAGGGCCACATGGTGAAGGTGGACTGGCTGGACCGTCTGACCTTCAGAGAGATCGAAATGATCAATGAGGTGAGTTGGTTTAAACACACTTTGTATTTGCTGTAAACAATCTTAAGAATCTATAGTCAGTCATGGAAACTGGTCAGCTTGATAGAAGTCATTATCATTATGACTTGGACAACAAAGATTAGTCGCAGCTAGACTCATCTCAGTAAGGACAGTGCAGGATTCACTGTGCATATCACTATATGCATGTGCATTTTCACGTCTTCTGTGTTTAATCTGAAACTTTTCTTCGTGTGTGTTACTGCAGCGCGAGAAACGCAGCTCTAACTTCATGTACCTCATGGTGGAGTTCCCCCGAGTCAGAACTAATGACAAAGAATACAGCATAGTCTATTATGAAAAGGTAGTTTCATGTTCAGAAACATGTAACCTGGTGCATTTTAACATGCAATAATCACTTGTGTTAGCTAATTGGTGTACTGTAACTGGTTCCCATTCAGGATGGAGACGACGCATCGCCTGTTCTCACTAGTTGTGACATTGTCAAAGTTCCTGACCCACAGATGGGGATGGTGAGGGGACTTGCACATTATTGTGGCTTTAATATTTTTTCAAATGCAAAAAAAAAAAAATGTGTACACATTTCATTTGAAATATACTTTATATTATTTTTCTCACAGGAGAACCTGGTGGAGAGCAAGCATCACAAACTGGCTCGTAGCCTCCGCAGTGGGCCCTCAGATCACGACCTGAAGCCCAATGCTTCCACACGTGACCAGCTCAATGTAAACAACCAGCAGTGCAGCTTACATTTAGGATCCACATTCTGTATAATCTAATCCAACATAATTACGTTCGCCAAGGAGGTTGTTTTAATTCAGTGTGTGTGTGTGTGTTTCAACTTGTAAATCAAACAGTTATTGGTTTTTGTTCTTTGTAAGTCATTTTAGATGTCAGATATTTCATAAACAACTCTGTCACACACTACATTTGTGTTTAATACCTTTTATAGCTGAATTACCAGAAGACATTTTGTAGTAAGCTTGGAAATTGATTTGATGTATGTGCATCTATATGCACCAACAGATTATTGTGAGCTATCCTCCAACCAAGCAGCTGAGCTCTGAAGAGCAGGACCTGGTGTGGAAGTTCAGATACTACCTCACCACACAGGAGAAGGTGGGTGTGTTGATATCTGCACTTCTGCTGTACCCTAATACTATATACTTACACACACACTGAATGCTTCTCCTCCTCTTGCTGCAGGCATTGGCGAAATTCCTCAAGTGTGTGAACTGGGATCTGCCCCAGGAGGCCAAACAGGCTCTGGAGTTGCTGGGGAAGTGGAGGCCCATGGATGTGGAGGACTCCTTGGAGCTGCTGTCCTCTCACTTCACTAACCCAACAGTCAGACGCTATGCAGTAGCACGTTTGCAGCAGGCAGATGATGAGGTAGGTGTGGGAGGTCCAAGGGGCAACAGGAAGTGTGTGTGATCGTGTGGATGATGATGGCTCTGTATGTATAACACCTTTAGAAATGTTTTCATTCTTCCCAGACTAGAAGAAAATCTACAAATTAGTTGGCAGTGTTTGTCTGTAAACTAAAATTGGTGCATATCAGTATGTTTACTCTGTTTTAATGTGTGGATTTGAAACACAGTCTCTATGAAAAGCATGAAGGTCTTTTCACACCATGAGCGACGTGAATAAATGATATGAAATTGTGTATTTTTTTTTGAGGCAATTTAAACACACTGCATATATTTACACCAGATGTGACGTGAATATGGAATGTGAAGTTCTAGAAGGTCGTGCTGCAGAAGTCCACATGAAGTGGTGATGACCTGCAGGTGCTGGTTCTGCTGAATACATTAAAGTAGTGCATCTTATTTTGAAAAAAGGCAGTTTGGAAAGTTTTAATGCTTCATGCGGGGGTTTTTGTGCCTACGTCTGGGTGTCTGTGGGTGTCTGCTGCCACCACACTTGAAGAAGCAGAGGAGCAATTACAATGACCCTGATTGACCTGAAATAGCACCTGGCTATATATCTGACGTAAAATACAGTATATACTGATCACCGCTTCAATAAATAAATCAAATAGTTGACCGGTGCATCATGTGCTTATGGTAACCGTGTTGCCATATATATAAAAATATACAGTCTTCACACTTTGGCCAGCAAGCTGTGCCGCGTTTGGTCACGGGTTCCTGACGTCGTCGAAAAGTTGAAAAAAAAAATCAACTTTGGGGGCAAAAAATAACTGCGGCTTTTCACTCAGCAATATTCTGTTGAGCAAAGGTTCACTGACAGAATATTGGCTTGAAAATCGTTAACTGATGTGAAAATAATGCACGAAAAACAAACCCCTTGAATGACAGTTTTTGTTTTCAGGTTTTGTTTTGATAAACCCAAAATATGAAATACTTTGGAAAGAAGTATCAACACTTGATTTATTCTTTCAAACATGTAACGACAGTCACTATGTCAACACACATAATTTCACACATGTCCACAAATGCATTATCAATTTGCTTATACCTAGTACATGCTTGAACGGAGTAGGAAGAAGTTAGACTTATCTAGTCCTACCCCATGACATCATCTTACCATCATTGGTTTGCAAGCAGTATCTCTACATAGATAATTTTGTTCTACACCACGCTAGTGATATACTAAAAAATATTACAGACTGTTAACATTCTTACATAATTACATACTTTGATAATTATCTTCTACATCACACAAGTAGAAATATTACATAGTGTTAACATTCTTACACCACACCCACAATGTTCCATCTAATTAATCATTAAGCCTGTTCTTGCATATATCTTGATTGACACATACCTTTATATTTATGTTTAAACTCGTCAATTCTATTACTATTTTTTATGTCCACACTTAAATTATTCCATAGTTTTACCCCACTTATAGAAATACAGAATCTTTTTTTGGTTGTACGTATAGCATGAATTTTTAAATTTAACTGACCCCTTAAATTGTATCCCCCTTCCCTTTCATTAAATAGTTTTTGAATTCCACCAGGTAATAAATTGCTCCTGGCTTTATACATAAACACCAAGTATGGTAAAATCAACAAAGAATAGAAAATACGTAGTGCTTTTATGTCCAAAATATGTCTGACTCTCGCCAATATCGATATGTTTTTTGCTATTTTATGCTGAATATATCTGATATGATATTTCCAGGTGAATTTATCATCCACTATGACACCTAGAAATTGAATTTCATATACTCGTTCTATATTAGCTCCCCCTATTTTCACTTGCAGTTCGTTATCTAGTCTACGATTCCCAAATACCATAAATTTAGTTTTATCCATATTCAGAGATAGTATATTACTATCACACCATTTCTTTATCTTCTCAAGTTCCTGTGAGACCTGTCCCGAGAGTTGCTGTAGGTTTTCCCCGGATGCCCAAATGGTAGTGTCATCAGCAAATAAAACCACTTTCACTAAATCTGAAACCTTACACTACCTTAATTATTCCTCTCTCTCCTTTCAGGACCTTCTGATGTACCTTCTCCAGCTGGTGCAGGCACTTAAATATGAGAGCTTCAGTGATATTCAGAAAGGCCTGGAACCATGCAGCAAGAGAGAAAGCCAGGGACTTTCAGATGACTCTACACTGGACGGGTCAGTACTTGGATTAGAAATTATAGCAGCTACTTTGGCTGTGGCTCATTAATTAGTCAAAAGACATGAAGCACATAGAGGTTCTGTGGTGGGAGGTTGCTTAAAATGTTTAAAAATGACACCGAAGGGCCTGAAATATTTGTTGCGCACCACAAGTAAAAAGTGTAGATGCACGTCTCCAAACTGGTTGTGTACATCCAGTGATTTTTGTGTTTTGTTTCTAAGTGCCTATGTCTAAATTTATCTCTGAGTTGCACACTAGCTGGGAGAGCATTTGCCACTTTGCAGAATTTGATTATTTTTCTTTCAAAGACCATAATGAAGTCACTGGGAGTTATGATTTTACTGGCAGATTCACAGCTCTGGACAGATGGATGCAAAGAACTGCAACTGTGTTGACTTGAAGAATGACTCTCAACAGGCTAAAGCTGTCTATACTCAATACACCATCTCCCCAGTTCAAGCAGAAGTTCACTTATGTTTTGAATCAATTGTTCATTATTTTTTCCTCTAGTTCTCAGATCATTTCTGGCACATCTGGATCCTCCACTGCCCCACAGAAAGGCAAGGAGGGAGTCGACAGTGAAAACCTAGAGGTGAGAATGGCAAAATGCAACTGAAAACAAAGCTGCAGCTGAAAGGAACATAGAAAATTAACAGGATAATACAGATCAGAATACAGTATTAATACAGTAAATCCCAATATAAATACTCAATATAAAAAAATTAAAGATTAGAGCTGTGTAAAATTGAACATTGTGTTTGTTTCTCTTTGTAGCCAGACCTGTGTACATTCCTCATCTCACGTGCTTGCAAGAATTCCACACTTGCCAACTACTTATACTGGTGAGTAGTTCAGTGTGTGTGTGTGTGTGTTTTTTTTACTACTGAGAATGTGTGTGTTTGTACATCTGTTAGCAGCAGTTGTATGTCTTCCTCAGGTATGTGATTGTGGAGTGTGAGGACCAGGACACTCAGCAGAGAGATCCTAAGACTCACGAAATGTACATGAATGTCATGAGGAGGTTCAGTCAGGCTTTACTAAAGGTCAGCATCATAGTATCAGAGCCCGGATACGTTCTAGAGCAAAAAATATAGTCCTCATTTTGGCCTTTCTTTGTCTCCTCCTGCTGTTTTCTTTCAGGGTGATAAGAGTGTGAGGGTGATGCGGTCGCTGTTAGCAGCTCAGCAAACATTTGTAGACAGACTGGTGCAGCTCATGAAAGCTGTGCAGAGGGAAAGCGGAAACCGCAAGAAGAAGGTGACTCCACACAATGGGACTGCATGTTTTTATAGGTCTGAAACGGGTCTTCATTTTAGGTTATTTTGGGCAGATTTGTAGACGGAATCATTCCAGATGTATCCAGTTTCACATGCAGGTGGTTAGTTTCAAATGTAGGAGCCAGTGAACACACTGATCCTGCTGAGTTGTGTTGACATCAGCATCCCTCTCTCTGTGTGTGTGTGTGTGTGTGTGTGTGTGTGTGTGCAGACGGAGCGGCTGCAGGCTCTGCTGGCTGACAACGAGAAAGTGAATCTGTCAGAGATCGAACCGATTCCTCTTCCTCTGGAGCCTCAGATCAGGATCAGAGGCATCATCCCCGAGACGGCAACACTATTCAAGGTACAATGACTGCTTGTCTCGACTGCAGTCGGTATCTGTGTAACCACCGATTTACGTTTCTTTCCCCTCTGTTTGCGTGTCAGAGTGCACTGATGCCAGCCAAGCTGATCTTCAAAGCCGAGGACGGAGCCATGTATCCAGTTATCTTCAAACATGGAGATGACCTGAGACAGGACCAGCTCATCCTGCAGATCATCTCACTCATGGACAAAGTAAGAATACCTCTTATATGGGAAATGAAATGCAAACGGGTCTTTGGTGATGGTTAAATTGCAGCTGTTGCTTGCTCTGCACAGTATTTTAAAATAGTTTTAAATTAAAACTTGAATGATTTGTCATTGGATATTTAGCTTCTGAGAAAAGAGAATTTGGACCTGAAGTTGACACCTTACAAAGTTTTAGCCACCAGCACCAAGCATGGTAAGAATTTGTCCACTCATTACTGTGTGGTAGAAAATAAGCTCTTCTTAAAAATGCAGGCTTTATTTGTTAGCTTGCTGCTGTACCTTTTTTGGCATAATTTAAAATATGCCTGTTCTAGGTTTTATGCAGTTTGTCCAGTCTGTTCCTGTTGCCGAAGTCCTGGCTACTGAAGGCAACATCCAGGTAAGCAGAGATGTAGAAACGGTGTTTAAATATAGTCCTAACTGACTAACATCTTTTCAATCATAATGATTTGTTTCCACAGAGCTTTTTCAGGAAGCATGCTCCAAGTGAAAAAGGGCCCTACGGCATCAGCTCAGAGGTGATGGACACCTACGTCAAGAGTTGTGGTGAGTCCGCTTGTGTCGGTCAGATCTGTTCTTAGTTCGTTGGTATGCCCTACCTGCAGAGCACATTACCTGTCAGTGTTAATAAGCTACGTTTCTCTCACTGTGCTCTTCCAGCTGGCTACTGCGTCATCACCTACATCCTGGGAGTAGGAGACAGACACCTGGACAACCTGCTACTGACAAAGACTGGTGAGGCAAACATGTTCTGTTAGATGCTGATTAATAATGTCTTCCTTTACTGAACAGTTTTAAATGATATTCTCTCCTCTCCTCATCCAGGGAAGCTCTTCCACATCGACTTTGGCTACATCCTGGGCAGAGACCCCAAACCGCTGCCTCCGCCCATGAAGCTGAGTAAAGAGATGGTGGAGGGCATGGGAGGCATGCAGAGTGAGCAGTACCAGGAGTTCAGGAAGCAGTGCTACACCGCTTTCCTGCACCTCAGGAGGCAAGATACTGTACATGCTGACAGAAATAACTACCCTCAACTGTAGGGAAGAATGGTGAACCAACACTTTGGTTAGAAAACTAGTTTCCACCAGAGCATGTGGAGGCCGGTGTTTTAGCCTATCAACTACCAATCATGTATATTATGTATTATCACTGAACACCGTTCAAAGCAATCTGTTGATTTGCTATCTTTTACACAGACAGGGGTGTCAGCGCAGTTCAAAATAGGGACTATTTCTTTGTCAGCGTTGGCATCCATGATTCGATAATTCAAATCCCCTTGGGCCAAGTCTCTAGCAGTCTACTTTAGTACTTCACTGACCTGAAGTAAAGCCTGTGGCTGATAATCAGCATGAGAATCAGTAAACAGTGGCAGGAATTATACGCCATTTGCATTAAATGGACTTTGGTCGATCGTTGCCTTTTAGCAGCTCCAAATATAGGACTTTTTCAGAGCAAAGCAAGTTTATTTATATAGCACATTTTCATACACAAAGGCTATTCAAAGTGCTTAATACAATGCGCCCAGATAAAACATTCAAATGCAAATTAAAAGCAACATTTACATGACAGCACAAAGTAATGGCATGCAACTGTAGGTACCTAGTACTTTTAGGATATCTGTGGTAGACTGTGGATTGTCACTGTTGTCATTATACTTGTACCCTTTTCTTCAGTCTTCCTAGATTAACCTCCGAGTACTTTAACATTGGAAGTGGGTGTCCTTTTCTTCCAGGAAATATCAGTGTCTATACACTGTTAAACGGTCTTAGCATTGCCAACACAAATTATCTATTATCTTCACAGTGTAGCTTTAAAAAAAACAAAAAAAAAACACAAGCACTGCACATTTTTCTGAAATAAATGTGCTTTTTTTTTCCCTCCATCTTTTCAGGTACGCCAACCTCATCTTAAATCTTTTCTCTCTCATGGTGGATGCCAATATTCCTGACATCGCTCTGGAGCCTGACAAGACTGTTAAGAAGGTACGTTTGTTGGTACAAACTTAACTGAATAGGAAAGGGGCAAGGGCGTCACCCTACCTTAAACAAAGAACAAAGTATAGACCTGCGCGGCTCCCCCTAATATAATGGTAGGGGAAACACACTGAATGATCAAAACACATTACAGTCTTCTGAACAACTTCACACCTTTTGGCTGTTGACCTTTGTCAGGGTCTGTTAGATATGAGTGTCCACCCAATTTAAATGCTCGTTGTTATGAGCCAGTACAACTATCAGCATCATTTTTATGGTTAAATTTTTTGCCTCCAGGTACAAGACAAATTTCGACTGGACCTGTCTGATGAGGAGGCCGTCCATTACATGCACAGTCTGATTGATGAGAGTGTCGGCGCTTTGTTTGCTGCTGTGGTCGAGCAGATACACAAGTTTGCACAGGTAAATGTACACACACACACACACCATACTTTTTAAAATAGACTGGGGTAATAATTGTAAATTTAACAAATCTAAGATATCATATGGCTTTAATATTGTTGTAAAAATGTAATGGTCAATAGTTCTGGACAACCTGGAATAAAAAGTAAAAGGTAGCCCTTTATTCAGCATTTATAAACATTTAATAAATGGTTGCTTTACTGTAGTTGTAAGTACATGTCAGAGAAAATTATTGTACCATGTACATACTACATTTGGTAACTTTAGTTACTGGTACTTTTCAGGAAGAGGTTAATAAAACAAAATACAGTATAAGATGTATTGCTTCTTGGTGTAAGATATTAATTTAGTGCATATGAGATAGTTAAAATTAGTCCTACCTTTACCAGCTGCAACAGTAAATGTGAGGTACACAACTGTGATGTACATCAGCGCATTTTTCATAATGAGTAATGTTATGAATGCCGGACTTCTACTTGCAACAGAGTATTTCTATACTGTGGGAAATGAAAACTCTCATTAAACAGCATCAGCGGTTAGCCTCCAAGTTGACCCAGATGTATATTTTTATGTATTTATCTGTAACGGTTACCCTAAACGACAGCCCAAATCTTGGATTTGCTTTCCTTCTGACCCATTCTGAGCTCTTTTGCAGGCTAACCAATTTCCCTGGTGATACCGTGTAACACAACTTTTCATTTCCCTGAATGCTTGTTTCTTTCTTTCTTCAGTATTGGCGCAGATGAGCAGACCAGAGAGACGTCTGAGACGTGGATGACCCGAGTCCAGCCGCTGATTGTATGCCGTTGACCCGGCTGTTATGGGAGCACATTGCATTGACCAAAGAAAAACCATTTGAGGATCTTTTCTTGTAATTACGAGATAATGAAGGGGTTGGAGCACTGCAGAATGTGCCTGAAAATCATCAGGCTTTAAAGAATTCTTTAGTGTTAAAGTAATTCAGTGATTGTTGTCAGAACATAGCAATAGTGCATAGCAGAAGTGAACTGTTGATAGTTAATTTGGTGTGTATATTGTTCCAGAATGTAAACAAAAGGGCGCCCTGAGTGGCGCCCTTTTGGAGCCTGTATTTGTTCATATTGTGGAACACTAACCACACCAAACTGACCAGTAACAGTTCACGTTTGCTATATACTATTGGATGTACTGACATATCACTGAATTACTGTGATACTAAAGAATTCTTTAAAACCTGATGATTTTCAGGCACGTTCTGCAGCGTTCCAACCCCTGCATATCTCATAATTATGAGAAGATCTCATAACTATAGGATTAGACTCTCATAATTATGCGATAGTAAGTTACAATAAAGGATCTCATAATTACAAGGTTAAGATCCTCCAGTTGTTTTTTTCCTTTGGTGTGTATGAGAGGACGAAGTAAAGAAGCCTCAAGGCGCTGTTAAAAGGTTAAGAATGCACTGCCAACTTTTACTGCAAAATGGCAAAACAAGGACATGGACGTCTTTGTTTACTTTTGTATATATCATGTATATTAAATGGACGAATGAACGGCCAAATTAAAGACTTGATACAACTAAATGTACTGGCCATATATACAGTTTTGTTTTTTTACTCCAGTGTCTTTCTAAAGTAGTGTGTATCTTTTATTATTTTAGCCCAAAAACACAGACACGTGCACGCACACACAGGTGAGCACACACCCACCAGCTGACAGAGAGTGCGTGTCGGAGAATATTTATGTATGTATGAAAATATGATGCCTGGCATCAAACCGATCACCCCCTTTTCCTTGCTAAGCTGCGTTAACAAATAGCAGAAACCAGTAAAAGTTTGAAATGTGGATAGCTCGGTGGGTAACACCACTGACTTCGGTGTGGCAAGTTGGGGTTCAAGTCACTGTCGGGGCACAGCATCAGCTTGGGCCCCTTAGGCAAGGCCCTTAATGCTATCCGCCTAGCAAGGTACTACATAAATGCTACGGCAAGGAGGAGTCAGGACGCCAGGAAATGGGGGAAATATCACCCTCCCCCCAGTCGGAGATTGAAGATCACAAAATTGGGTTTTTCTAGGATCATGACTAAGATGAATGCAAGAAGTGAAGTAGTGAGAAAGGCGTAATAAAGTGCATAGCGAGGAAAGTGGAGAAATGAAGTGGAGTACCTCCTAAAACCAAGCAATTTTACATACAGGGAAAAGGCTTGATGAAGAAAGGGGGCACACAGAAGAAGGGAGGGAGGATCCCTGGTTTAAACTTTTACTAAGATAGATGACTTACTGGATTATTAAGATAAGTTTGACTAAGATCCTCTAAATAATGTGTTCTCATGTTTTCTACATTCTTTTCATTAGAGTGAAAACATGAGAACACAGCATTTAGAGGACCTTAGTAAAACTTGTCTTAGTAAGTCTCCCCCCCCCCCCCCCTTTTTTTTTGGTGACCAGATGTATTTAACTGACCCACTCTGTGCATAAAATCATATGATACCTCTCTGTGACCATGAGCAGCGACTTGCCATGTTAAAGTATTGGCATAAACCTGCTCCTCTATATAGCAATAAAAAAAAAAAATCACTATTTAGTGAAAATGTCATGATAGGACAGGATCACGCCAACATACACAACCAGAGGACAAGCAAAAATAAATCCAACTCTGCAGAGGCCTTTAGAAAAATTACTGCAAATAGCAGAAAAGACAAGAAAAAAAGGCCAAACGTACGGTTTCTGGATCCTGGAGAAAACAGCAGCTCGACTGCTGTGTAGTCAGGTGCTCGTTCACACAAGCCAACCTTTTGCTTCAAGCATTAATCATCTCTCCACAATGTAAGCGCTGTGTTTATTAATAAAAGCCATATTTAGATGTGGAGCTCTGGACGACCCCCCCAGGTCTCTGTGGACTCCTCCAAGGCTCCCCAATGTTGCGGAAAGACTGCAACACCAGCAAAACAGAAGGCAAAAAAAGCGAGATTGTTTTCATGCAGAAGTCAGAGTGAGGTGTCTGCGAGGCTCTGATGGGGCAACTGTGAGTCAGAAACATATCAGAGCAATGAATGAAAACTACCCTTTGTTATCACTCCGGGGGGGTCAGAGCTTTTCTTAGTTCTTGTTTATGAAATTCATTTTTTGGACTGGCTTGTTGAGTGTCACTGGACCTCAACGTAAAAGACCTAGGGGGGAGGAACCGCAACCAGATTTAGACTTGTCACTGATTCAGTAAACGAGTACATACACAGAAAAGCAGCTCCTTTTGGACCTGCCAGATAAACTATTTCAGCTTCACTGGTAATTCTCACTCACCAGTCAACACTCTGGCCACCTTCATGCAGTACTCTGACTCATCAGACTGACAGACAGTCCGAGCCAGAACACTGAGCAGAGATGTTTCAGACTGGGAGCCACATTTCTGTCACTTCCAGGCAGCTAAACAGAATTAGAACGCTGGATCATCTGGTGGCCCTGGAGAACGGGAAACATGACGGGGGCTACATCTAATTTTAAATAAGTCACTACAGGACATCATGGCCTACTGACCTTTTGGGTGAATGTCAAGTTTCACCCTGGTTTGGAACCCATATGCAAAGACTGCTCATATAAAGTTAACTACTAATACAGAGTTGCTTCGAACAAGTGGATAAGAATGATAAATAGACCGGATTCAATATAAACAAGAATGAGTAAACAACCTCTGGTCCAACAAATATATTTCAATCGTGTAATTTAAAATATGACCCATGCTTCTGAGGCTATTTTTTCAAAAGGGGAATTTGTGAAAAAACGCCCAATTGATAGAGGATTTTTGAGGCCAACACAGATGATTTGGCAGTGAAAAAAAAAAAAAAAAAAAAAAAGAGGAGCAGAGTTGAGCTACTGTCCCCAAGGCCCAGACCTCTCAGGTGGACTTGCATTTGCCTACCTTCACAGGGCAACCCACATGTCGATGAGTCTCAGTCTTTAAGTATCAGTCTCCATTTGTCCCACGTCTTGTCAGAGGAGTGAGACACAGGTGGGAGTCCAGGCCTCCACCGTCCCAGTACCCTGTATCGAGGTCTGGTCCTGGTTGGAGGGAAAACTAGAGGAAGATTCAGTGGAGATCAAATCAAATTTTATTTGTATAGCGCCAAATCACAACAAAAGTCATCTCAGGACACTTTACAGAGTAAGGTCTAGACCTTACTGTTATCAATATTATTATTACATAGGGAAAACCCAACAAATCCCCCTGAGCAAGTACTTGGCGACAGTGGGGAGGAAAAACTCCCTTTAACAGAAGAAACCTCCGACAGACCCCGGCTCTTGGTGGGCGGCCTTCTGCCTCAACCGGTTGGGGTGAGTGGATAGAGGAGAGACAAAAGAAGAAAAGCAACAGGACACAACAAACAATCATCAAACACTGAACAAACAAACACTGTGAACAAACAATCAAACACTGATGCGGTCATCTAGTTCAATGTGGATGTCACAGGGGTCGACTGGGACCAGGGACTGGGGGGCCAAAGAGACTGGATCATGAACATATGCCTAAATGGGGGAATATCAGTTGGGACCGTATGTTCAGAAGAAATAGGCAGTGTATGTTTGCATCAGTGAATTCTGAGAAGAGTTTTTAAAAAAAAAAACAGGCAAAGAAAGGGAGTGAAAAACAAGAGAAGTTCAGAAAAATGAATCATACTTGAGTCTTGGGCTGATTTTCAGTTGCTGGAGCAGCTCGTTGTGCTTTCTTCAGAAACGCAGTGAGAAGTGTAACGATGAGCAGAGACGTCAGTCCGATGCCCTGACACAGCACAGGCAGCAGCCCTGTGGAGAGAAAACACACACAGGTTGAACAAATGTACGCTCAGCACATTCGGGGAAAACAAGATGACTCAACAGCGAGGCTGCAGAAGGAGCCAAGCCACCAGCAGCAGGAGATCTGTTGGTGCGCTGGACTTTGCTGCAAGACATGGATTAAGTTCAGGTAAACAAAGCTGTCTTTGCAATTTACCGAAAAGTTCTTGGTATCAAAACTGGCTCTGAACTGGACAATGACCAGTTAACTCTTTTTTTAAAATTTGCCTTTGGTCTTATGATCCTTTAAATCAAGACCTGTTATGATTTGCCGTTATGTTTTCTGTCCCCAGTGTCAAAATTAAACCTGGAGAATCAGCCTTGTGCTTTTGTGTACCACATATCTGGAGATATCTACTAGAAACTACCATTCTGTTCAGTTAAATGTCTTTTAAATCAAGGATTAAAACCTTTTATTTTCTGCCACTGCCTTTGATTAAATTCATTTGGAATTATTCATTTTACACTATGCAGATTTTTTTTATTGTTTCATAACTGCTTCTACATTATTTGACTTCCTTTTGAATTATATTTAGTGGGTTTTTTTATTGTATTTTTTCATACATCATCTTTTATTTTGAACTGCCATCGTCTTCACTGCAAATGACTGATTTTGTTTAATCACAGATTGTTAAATTTGAGTTATTTTGAAGCTGTGGTGAGGTGAAATTTTGGAATATTTGTATATACTAAATAGAAACACACATATGAATTCTGAGTTTAAAGTCAGAACTCACATTTTGCTCAGTGGCCCCAGTTTTTTACCTTGCAGATTAAACCAGTATTTCACAAGAAAATAGCAAATATTATGTCAAAGCAGAAGAAAATGTCATTGTGCATTGCAAAATGACATTTTATTTCTTTCTTATCAGAGCCCCTTAGATTTTTCTTGTGACCCCTTCCCCCTGATCCCCAGGTTGGGGACCACCATATTTACCAGTTATCAGTGGATCATCTTCTATATTAGGGAAACAGCCTTCGTTATGGCACAACCTTTCTAAAACCCTATGATTAAAAAAGCCCTATCACATTCCCTGTGCTCACTGAGGGTTGAGCAGTCAAATTTAACTGAACTTCAAACTGTAAATCACATGATTTAACTGCCTCAAACTTCCAAAGTTTATATTTGACTGTGGTTTAGCTTCCTCTCACCTGATTTAGAGACTGTCTCAACACTCTCAGGAGCAGACGTTGGGGAAGCAGCCATGGAGAAGGTTGGGAAGAAGAAGTTGGCCACAGCGCAGTAGTTCTGCCCCGGAGACAAACCAGACAACTCAGCATAGGACACCACCTCCTGGGTCCAAACTATTTGCCTCTGCAAGAAAAAATTAAAAATAAACTTGGCTTATCTACTTAGAGGAAGAAAAACAAACTCTTGCTTGCAGCTGCCAGACATATACAGTAGATTTATTATCCTGAGCACTATACTAGTGTGCAAATTTGATATATTTATACTTCTGTTTGACTGGGAAGTATTGTACCTTCTCACCCCACTTTATTAATTAAATGTTCCATTAAAGTACTGCTTACATGTAAATGCATAAATAATACTATTTTAATAACATATACACCTCTGAAAGGGCAGACTGTGCATTCTGATACTTTCGTTTGTTAGTACTTCTAAAGAAAAATGCTTAATGTCCAAATGTATTTCTTTAATGTAGAGTGTTTCTATTTTCCTGTAAATTAGGGATCCAAGTGTTTCTTCCACCACTGGCTGTTGCACACTTTTAAAATTATTTTTGTAATTAGGATGTTAGTTTGACACAGGATGTTTACATTCCAACGAGTCCAGTCAGTTTTTGTAAAACTCCAAAATAATACTGCCACCCTGGATGGGCATCACAGTGCAGCATTAGAAGCCCCTGAGCAGCATCCACACATGGAACTGTGTTAACTAAATACAGACTGGAGAGGTTTTGCAGGAGAGAGCATGTTAAACATACACTGAGAAACTGACTTAGGCAAACTCTATTTTTAGTTTGATTAACTAACACAGGTACAACTGGGTAACGACAAAGTTAGACCTGGTGCTCAGAGCGATTTAGCTTGTTGTACACAGTCACTGTTGTCCAGGGGTCGATCAGCTCAGAGATGGGACCGCAGCTCTGGAGAGAGAGCCCCCTGTTGGCAGGGCAGGGGAACTGCACCTTCACCAGCAGCTGGTCATCTTTCACAGAGACTGAGAGGGCTGACTGAAAGCTCAGCGGGCACAGAGAGGAACTGTTAACATTAATTGCACAGTGATACCTATTGTCACATATCGCACACTAAAGCAGATTATTGTACGGTTTCAAACCATGAGCCACAAAGAGCCAAGGAATCCTCTCAACACTTTGTGGCTGCACTACAGAATCTGCAGGTTTGTCACCGACTGAAGTCACTGTAGTCGAACTTGTGTGGCTTGATCCAGACAGTGGAGCTGGGGCTGAGGTGGACACCGAGACGAATCATGTTGTACAACTAGTTTGAGAAGGCCGGAGAGACGTCACAGCTGGGTGAAGACACCCAAACACACCATGGACTGTCCTGCCAGGGGTCCCTCCAACACAGATGTACACAGTATTATGGTGCATGAGCAAGCAAAAAAAAGATTTTTTTCAGTAGTATCTTTATCATTTTTTGTCCATAAAAGAGTTTGTAACAATGTTTACAAATACCACGACTCAGTTTGTCATGTAGATTTTGTTCTGGTTCAGTTGACATTATGTGGTAAAGCCTGAAAATCAAATAAAACCTTTTTAGATGTCGTCAAACTTTTAAAACCATCATAAAACCTTTTTGTTTAACCTGTAACAACCCAACTAGACTCTCCCCTGTGTTGCACTCCAGTGGACAATCTGGTTTAATTTATGAGTCCCCTCACAGACACCTACAGACTGGAGACTTGAATCAGGACAGTACATATTATAATTATACTGATAAGAAAGTTACTGAACTCTTGCAGGAACATTAAAATGTCTACAATACACACAATGGAGGATGAAAATAAAAAGGCATTAGAAACTATATATACACACCAACAAATAACTATAAAGTGAGGAAAGTAAGAAGTTGCAATCAAAAATTAAATACAAAAATTGAATGTGAGTGAATGGAAATTGATATATAAGGTGTGTTGTGCCTGCAGATAATTTACTGCACTTGTATAGCAGCAAACTGGAATGCTACACACAGAGAACAAGACTAACCCAGTCGACCCTGGGAAGACGGCACAAAACTAGTTCACCAAAATAGTGCATGCACACACACAGACACTCATTGCCCTGTTAAGTCTGACTGTCACAACTTTAACACGTGCAACCAGACGAGAGAACAACTTGGTGCAACACAGACACACAGCTACAGAGAAAGGGGAAACATAGTGCATGTAACTTCCATACTCACCAGTGATAAGCAGGGTGACAACACACAACCCCACAGGTATTCTCAATCGACCTGTGATTACACCTGCTGTCTCCATGGCGACCTAGAACAAGTGAGGAAGACTGATGTCTCAACTCGAGTCTGTACAGCAGAGAAGACAGACTCCTTTAAAAGCAAGACAAATACATCTGTAAAGACACAGTGAGGAGCACGTGGAATAAGCTGCCGGAGAATGATCGACTCCAGTCAGCAGGAGGGTGGAAGGGGAGAAAAGCCACAGGGATTTAATTGAAGGCGAGTGACTTTGTACGGGAGAGAAACGGCTATAATCCAATTAAAGGGGAAAAACAATAAAATAAACAGATAAAGACAGAAAATGGTTATTTCCATCATTTTTTAAAAAGATGCTAAAAGGGATGTTTTGCTGTACCTTCTGTGGCTTTTTCCTCTTGTTCTAATGAGAATATCTGAAATGACTGGAAACTTAAACCTTGATCATACAAATAGATAATGTGGAGAAAATAAATGTTTTGATACAGAGCTCACCAAATTGAAGTTGTCCATTTTGTTTTGCTAATGGTGACAAAATAGGAAACACCGCCACAAAATGCAAACTAAATCCGGTCAAATTTAGCAAGGACAAAATGTTTTTCCAACACTTTTCAAATAATGTCATGTTGTGTATGTGAATGAGCTAAATGCAAACATACACTTTGTTGAAGAGGTAGTCTTTGTTTAGCATGTTAATATAGCACCTCAATGAGCTAAATACTAAAGTTAACATCCCATCATGCAAACAATTAGAATGTCCAACATGTTGATCCTGAGCAGGTTTGGCGTCGTAGTGTGTTAGCATGCTAACATTAGCACTAAACACAAACAGCTGAGGCCAATAGAAATATTTTTGCAGGTAGCTCAGTTCTAAACCAAAGTATTAGACAAATACAAATGATGGTTCCAGAGGAAAAGTAGAAGAATCAAAGTGCCTAAAGTTCATCCTCTGGGTGCCATGAACGACTGAACCAAATGTTGTTGCTGAGATATTTCAATCTGAACCAAAGTGGTGGACCAAGTAACATAGCCAAAGAAGCAGATGTAAATCTGAGGACATCACTGCATTCTATCTTTTTATTCAATGTCATCATTAAATAAGAATCTGTACATCTCTTAAGCAGGTCTTTGACCAGTCATTCTCAAAGTAATAATGACATCAATGGTTTTTTTTATTAACAGTAATACATTTGAAGTGCATAACCAGGCATCCAGACGTGCCAATAAAGACCATACAGCAACAAAAAAAGTCATAAGAACGGTGTACAGCACAGTTTATTACATTTCCTCTCACGCACACACATGCCGCCTCTCATACTGAATCCTTTGCTCACAAACATATTTCCATGCTCCACACACACACACACACACACACACACACACACACACACACACCCACACCTCAGCAGTGCATCATACACCTCTTGATAATTAAAGATGTTAAAGCAAAAACAGCACCGAACATGAAAGATCATTGCAACAGTAATAATACTAAGCTTTAACATTCCTCATTTCAGCATCATCATCAGTCATAAGAATCATTACATCTGTGAATATACAGCATCTAATAGACTGGGCCCCAAACTGGAGTGTTGACATGCTGATCAGTTCCGGACGCTGCCGATCAAACCTATGCAGGCACGGCTGACATCTGAAGTTGTGACGCCCTCAGCCCAGCAGAGGGCGTCACAAAAAGGTCACCAGCAAACACTACCATTTACTTGGAGAGTTTCAAGGATAGTCACTTAATTTCTTGGTTTGAAATGTCTCCTCTGCACCAAATAGTCCATCCATATAGTAAGCAGGGTATTGCTGCATTAAAATCTGTGCAAATTTTAAGAAGACCCACTTAATTTCCAAGGAGGAGCTTTTGGTGCAGAGTTTCCACACAGATCATTTCTCTGCGTGCATTTGGTGTTCAGAAGTCAAGGTTTATGTTTTCGCCCCTGGCAAGGTGAGTCCCGGCTCCAGGCTGGTGGTGGTTGTCGGGGTAGGTGAGGGTGGCAAGTCTTTGGGTCCTGAACAAAGCAGCCCATGTGAGGCTGCGTGGTCCCCATTCAGGTTCTTGTAGGGGTTCCTGCGTGGTGGAGCTCTGAGACAAATCGAAGGGAAGCGGAGACCGGCGAGGCAGCAGCCAGGGCAGGAGATCACCTCTTCCTGGTCCAGAGAGTGGCCACTGCCGGAGCCATATGGGGACAAACCAGCAGGGTCGCCAGGAGGAGACTGGTAGCTGTTTTTGTTTGCTGTGGTAGTGGCATTGGCAGTGGGGGTGCTCCATCCCAGTGGTCGACTCATGACCATGTTGTTGTTGTCCAAATGGGAAAGAGGAGGCAGCGATGGAGGCCCGTTGGACACAGCAGACCCCCAGCCATTCGAGAAGCGAGTGGAAGTCAAAGACTGGGGTGTTTGAAGGGAGAGTTTGGAGTGAGGAGATAAAGTGTTGTCTTGAGTGTCCGGGGAGCTTGTGCAGTCCATCGGCTCCTCATTCTCCTCCTTTTCTTGGTCCACTGACAGGGCTTCAAGGGACAGAGGAAGACCTGAATCACTCGCCAGCTGAGACCCACCCTGTTCTCTGATCTCTGTCTTTTCTCCCAACAGTCTCTCCCGCTCGCTCTCCCCATTTGTTTCACCGTTTACAGTGTCCATCTCAAACAGGGACTCCCCCTCAGTGAGGACAGTGCTCGGTGCTGATGTGAGGTATGGGGGAGGCGTACAAGGCAGTGAATGGCAGCGTCTGTGCCTCCTGGACAGATCACAGCCATCGGCCTCGGATGCAGAGGGATCGTTACAGTCTGGTGGGGGCAAGGTGAAGGTCAGGGAGATAACAGACTTGCTGGGGGTGTCGAACAGCTTTATCTTGCCACCTTTGAGGTCCTCCCTCTGAGAAAAGGGGTTGACCCGAGCAGGAGGTCCAAGGGCAGCTGAAGGGGGGATGTCCTGGGAGTGAAGCATATCAGATACGCTACGGGAGAGGCGGGGGTCTGACAGGAGGCAGGGGGATCGCCTTTTCTCAGGGCCAACTGCAGGAGCAACAGCTTCATGGAAAAACAAAAGCAGATTCAATAGTTCTTAATATTAATGTACAGAAACAAGTGTGTTTCCACTTTGATGCCAACAAAGAGTTTGATGACTCACCTTTCACTATTGGCTCGTCCTTCCCCTTCCTCTCAGCCCGTCTCTGTTCCAGCTCTGCTACGATTTGGGCAAATGACGAACGGAGCTTTGCATTCATCTGGCAGGGCATTTAACGAGAGCATGATGGAAAAGTGTAAGAGCATGAAAAGTTTAAGACAACTCCAGTGCTAAAGGCTGAATTAACCCCTCATCAACTCCATATGCTGGAATATCCATGAATTCAAGTTGGGGGGGGGGGGGGGGGGCCTTTCTTCAAGATGCCTACACATATAAAAACATTTAAAAGACTTAAGAGCCTAAAATTGTCCCATTCACTGCTTTTTGACTTATTATGCTCACCTTTTTGCTTGTGCAAAGTTACAAAAATTACAAATTTCTGACAGTGAAGAATATGGAACATGGCGTGCAATAAATCTCCCTCTCCTACTATATATATGTTCATTTAACCTTGTGGCGGTTTCCCTTTTATGGCAACGTGACAGGATCCGGCCATTATTGCTTATGGAGATATGTGACTGAGGGGTTTATTCAAACAGACCAACACAGGTACTGAACAGGCTAAAGGCACAAGCAACCATGCAGCAAAGAACAGCAGATTAAAAGACATTGAGTAAGTAAATCATCAGTCTGGGACTGAGTGTGTGTTGTGTGTGTGTCTTACATTACAGCAGGCGATGGCCAGTTCCAGGAAGTCGGTGGGACAGTCTCCCACCATCTGCTGAAAGGCCTCCACATCCAGACCAAAGTCCTACAAAGAAAAACAATGAGGTTTTACATTCATGCCAGTGCTTTTCAAACCCCTCTGTTTAATGTTGAGGTACTACTGCAGTAGTAACAAATGGGGTAAGTGCTGCTGTACTGCTAAACAGCCACCAGAGGGAGACATGCTCATGACTTTGAATGAGGTTTCACACTGAGGTCATGTCCTAAATCTACACTGCATACATAATAATGTTAATAAATACAAAAAACTGTTTGCACAGAGTTTTTATGTTTCTGGGCTGTTTTAAATACTTAGTTTTGTTGTTTTTTTCTAGTCTGAAAACAGCACTGCAATGTGATTATCAGTCTCTGGAATGAGCTGAAGATGAGCACAGTCACCGTGTTTAATACACAGATCATGAGTCAGACATGTAATCTTCTATCAACACAGGACAGTCAGCTTCCTGTTTGTACAAGGCGATATCTGCCATTTTACATATTGGTAAAAATCATCTGATATGGTGTTGCTTAATGTCACAAGTCAAGCTTGCGCAACAGTCATGTGCTTCTGAACTGGAAGACTTCAAACAGTCAGATTAAGAGACGTGCACATTATCAAGAATGCCTTTATTATAAACATTCCCCCCAACACAGTAATGTCATAAGGAGCCCAATCAAATGAGATGTGCATGAGGTGAATATGACAAGGGAACAAGGGCACTGTGATGTAAATGTCATCCATACCTCAGTGCGCGGCAGGATGTCAGGGTCGGCCTGGATCCTCGCAATAATCTCACACAGGATGATCCCGTATGCGAACACATCCACCTGCATAGGAGGTGGCCGACAACAGACACAGAAATTAAACACGAAGAAATAACATATGCACACATGCTGCACTATTGTGCTGAAATATGAAGTTTTTTTTTTTTTTTTACTTTATTTTCTGGTTGGCCGAGTTTGTATAAAAGCTTTATAAAAGTATTATAGAGACAAAGGTCTGAAAATCTGATTATGCAAGTTATGTGAACTGGTATTATTTTTGGGCTTTTTGCACTATAATCTAAAATTACATTCTACATTGTGGATTCTACTAATTCGTAGCTTCTTGGAGCCCAGACTGGCAGCGTACCGCCAGAGAAACAATCGCCATTTAAATGCAATCCTAACAGGCCATCAGGATTTCCACTAAGCTGCACAGAAAACACTAGCAACCCAGGCCAGGGGGTTCCTCTTACATAACTAAATTCCCGTTTCCCCTCAAAGTAATGATAGATTTATTAAATATTTATTACTTTACTTCAGTGCCTCCTCAGTTTATCTGACTGGCTTTCATCACACTCATGGTAGACCTTGACCTCTTGCAACAGTCTGCAGCTAAAGAGAATGAACAAAGCGATCTGTCGGTACCTTCTCATTATACACCTCTCCGCGGAGCACCTCTGGTGCCATCCAGTAGGGGGAGCCGACCACAGCCAGAGGCTCCTGCTCCTCTTCCTCACTGCAGAACAGAAGGAAGAGGAGAGAAACAGAGAGGCTTGATGATAACCAGCACTTGGAGGATAATGTAAAACCAAACTTCTCAAATCCATTTCACAACACCCAAGTTTACTGATTAAGAAAAAAAAAAGTTACATTTCATATTAAACAGACCTTTTTCATTTTACATGTTAACTTCTTTTCTGCAGCACTGGAAGTAAACGAAGCCTTGAAAATTGATGCAAACAATTCCTACAGGTGTCCCACCTTTTGCTGATGACTTACAATGACAAATTCTATAACAGAATACATTACTGAGGTATTTTTTGTAAGAAGGCAGCTTCTTAAATGTTAAGATTTAATGCTTTTCTCGATTTTATGTGACAGAAAATCATCTACTACATATGCAGGTAGATGTGCAATACGTTTCCAGACTTCAGAGTGCAAATGCACAGGAAACAAAAATAAATTTTCCATTATTTACCCTTCAGTGTCTCTAGGGATTGTAAGAGACCGACAATGACAGCAGATAAACAAGAGGTCAGACCAGAACATTGAAGTAAGCAGGCATGACACTCCATTTCATTAACACACCAAGAGGGGTTTTATGGGGTGAGTATGGTGCAAGTGCACCACTTCTGTATCTGTATCTAAGAAACCACAATGTTTTTCAGTTGTATTGAGATAGTGTTGTGCAATTTGTTAATAGAAAAAGGAAGGAAGAGAAGAATGTGCAAGGACGTGCTTGCCTACATGCCTCTGCGAACGGCGTGTGCACATACACACACACTTCTGGCAGTCACTTCCTCTCTGTGCTATTTCCATCTCCTACTGTGGGCTATGATACTGCAGTAAATACACCGAGGGATGTGACGGGTGAGGAGAACTGAGAAGCAGAAAAGCTCATGGCTCCCAGTGTAAACACCATTTGAAGAAGTGGACCGATTGTGCAGGAGGCAGCAGAAGGAAAACAGGCACAGACAACTCCTAAATGAGCTAAAAGGGTTCAGTAAGAGAAGAATGATTTTTGAGTGAAGGGCAAGAGAGACTCACTCCGAGTGGCAGGACAGATCCAGGGTTCAGTAAGAGAAGAATGATTTCTGAGTGAAGGGCAAGAGAGACTCACTGCGAGTGGCAGGACAGATCCAGGCTCAGAGAGCAGGAGGAGGAGGAGGAGGCCTGGAATACTTTGACCTTATTTGGAGTGCTTTTCCTAAACCCCCTTCATCTCCTGTCTTTCCCTCCTTCCACGCCACAAGCACAGCGGTCCCACTCCCAGCACAGACACGCACACGAGAAAGGTTTGTCATCACTGATCATTCTCTGCTGGTGCTCCACTACAGGATATAACCATGTTTGACTAAAATAAAAAAGCAAACACTCCCTGAAAAGGACGGAAACTCAATTCACCAGCTGCTGTTGAAACGGGAGGCTGGAGCAAACATTAGCTTAATGTTTTATAGCTGCAGGTATGCAAAAATGCACACTGACACAGACACACAGTCACATGGAGGTGTTTTTGTAGCTCATCTGATGAATCTTTTTTTTTGTCTTAAGAAAGCAGAACAAACTTTAGTAGAGAGCCTGAAGCTCTACCCCCGTGACAGTGACACACTTGTGTCAACACAAGAGGTGGCTGGGCACAAACAGTGCACACAGAAAGGCCAGGCCAGGTTACAGTGACAGCTGTTCCATCTCAGCTGGGTGTTTACTAAATGACTGCAGACGCAGCGAGGCGGGGAGGATAAGGAGCTAATTAACAAGTGTGTGATGATTGTGTGTGTGGGGGGGCAGGACCCTAGTGGCTGTTTCTTTAAGGTCACAGCCTCAGTATCACTCTCCTAGTGCTTCACATTGTTATCAGTTCACTGCCTGGATCTTTATGACAAATAACATTCATAGAGGAGACAAATGTCCCATTGAGTCACGGAGGAGAAGTGGCGTCAAGTTGCAGCACGATACACAGTTGCACACAGTACATGTACGCACGTTGTGTACATAATGATCTACTGGTACTTTCCTGGAGTATTTCCATTTTGGAAGGTTTAAGGAATGCTTTTCTGTCTGGGGCCTGAGCATGAAGTCGGAGTCGGGTTACAATTAGCCTAGGTTAGCATAAGGACTGGCTCTGTCTAAAGCTTGATTTATGGTTCTGTGTTCAATCTACATGGAGCCTACGCAGGCGGCCTGTGCCGTTGTGAACATTTATACTCATCTGTGTCGCTCTGCAATTACGCCGCAAAAACACTAGTTGGCGGTGGGGTTTCTATGCCACTGTGTTGTGTTTCTTTGGCACTTACCAACAATGGCAACTGAAACCGAGTGGGTCATGTTGGAGTTAAAACCAACAGCTGTTACTTTTACTGAAATTAGCGCAACACAGACAGGAGAGGAGAAGACGCCTGTATGAGCACTGAACTGACTGAGGCAGAACGAGGTTCTTCTATGTCAATGTGAGATTAATATTTGAAGGGTTTTAGACTTAGGTTGAACAAAAGACTATCACGGCTGTTGTCGTCCAATTCGCCACGACGTGTAGTTACATTTCTGGGGAGGTGGACAAATTCAGTTTTATGTTACATCTTCTGAACACAGCAGCAACCGAAGGCCCATCTTTTTAGACTTGCCCCCATTGTGGTAATTCAAGTCTTATTGCAGTATGTGGAGAATTTGATCATCCAACACCGTGGGACATGACGTCACTGCAGAACCAGCTGAGGGACATAAATTTTTAAAAGAGCACCTCAGAGGATTGTCATAACTTTGCAGGTTGTTAACAGTCAGCGCAGTAAATTGATGATGCTGAATAAAATGTGTCACAGTGTATAAAACACACAGCTGCGAACCAAAAAAAAAAAAAAGCCTGGTGCGTCATGGCTGGTCAGATTAAATGCCCCCTCTGAGTTGAGCTGCTGTCCATACGCCCGCCGCTTCTTCCTCCCTTTAAACGACACTTTACAGTCTTAATGACAACAGTTCCACAGAGTGAGTGGTGCTGGAGACAGGGTTCAACCACAACATGTGCCTGCATACTTCGGAAAAACCCTGACTGAGCTCTGGTGGGAATAATGGTCTCATTCTTTGTGTACGACTGTGTCTTATCTGAGCGTCTCTGGGAGAAAAGAGAAGCCGTGGGAGACATTTTTGAACACTTTGTGAGATAGGGCATGAAGGGTTAATACCATAAAGAGGGAAGAGCAGCAGTGTAATATATAGAGCACAGCTTATCTAATCTCAGTGCTGACAGTTTTGATAACCATTACTGACCTGTAATCTGGAATTTTCTCTGCCAGGCCAAAGTCTCCCACAACAGCTGAGCACACGCCACCCTCCCAGCGCACCAGGCAGTTCTGCACAGAGGGTCAGAGGTCACTATATCACTGAGGTTTTGAACAATGATGCAAGATAAAAATCACCAAGTGTTTTTAGTTCAAGGACTCAACAGCCAAGTATCTGTATTTTCACTTCTTCATATGCCTCATCCGGAACATTCATGTGTTAAATGCCTACTTTAAAGTGCATTAGCGCCTGTAATGCAAAAAGATGGGTGACAAATCAAAGAAAAACCCAATATAGTGTCTCAGTAAGGTGTTGGGCCACCTCCAGCGTCACTGCACTTTGACTGTCCAAGTCTCTGAACTCCACTGGAGGGATGAACACCAATCTTCCTACAGACGTTCCCTCATGTGGTGTTTTGATGATGGTGTTTGAGAAGCTGTCTACCATGTCGCTCCAACATCTCCCATAGGTGTTCAACTGTGTTGAGAGCTAGCGACTGCGAAGGCCACAGCATATGATTAACATCATTTTCATACTCACACCATTCAGTGACCCCTTGTGTCCACTATCATCCTGGAAACAATCACTCACTCTGGTTTTCCTTTAATTTGTCACCCATCTGTATGTACCACTCTGTGGAGCAGAGTTCCTGATGCTCAGTGTTGTGTGTACTGTACATGGGCACTAATCTGTGTGCGGTCACCTTTGAGGTGAGGTCTCTGTGGAAGATACCCTTGCTGTGCAGGTACTGCAGTCCTCGTGCGATGTCCAGAGCCAGGCTGAGCCGCATGCTCCACGACAGGTACATGTCGCTGCCCAACAGCTGTTCCAGGTTACCACCGTTGATGTACTGCATGGCCAGGATAAACACCAACACATGGAGTTCATTAGTGATCTGTAATGAGTGCGTCCCATTTCCAGACTGCTTGAAATGGTTGGGGAAACAGCTGGGTGATTATTACAGTGACCTGTACACTACAGTTCAGGCCCATCTAGTACCTAAATAGCTTCACGATGCTATGGCACACCAGGAGAGGATACCTACAGGCTGCCAGGACATCCCTGTTTGGTTAACAGTTTTTAAGCTTAAAAAATAAAACAAAACAAAACTGAATTTCTCTAAAGACAGTGAAACCTGCTGACTTCTTCAACCAGTGCAACATGATGCATCACACGAGTACCACCTGTACAGGTGTCAGAGCACATCATCCCTGTCTCATCTCTCAGTCTTTCTCCCTTTCACTGCTGAGCTGTTACCGTGGCAATGCCAAATAACCCATCACGTGTAAAAAGACACAAACAGACTGACCCCTGTCTCTGTAGTACAGCCAACTGGAGCCTAAAACAGATACTCGGTGTATATTAGGTAAGGTTAGAGATAACGTAGAAAGGGGTTTTTGTACTACAAACACTAAAGGATGCCATTGTTCTCATTACTTGATCAGCATCTTACCTCTGTGAGAGCATGGAGCTGCCCTTCATGGACACACACTCCTATGAACCTGGAGGAAGAACAGGAAAAACACATGACTCGGTCTCCTCTTGTTAATAAAGTTAAGTCAACAAGTTGAGGCTCTTCACGTGGACCAGACAAACAGACCCGACACGTGAAGAGCGGAGAATAACAAACTCAACTTTTCTCCTTGACATTCAGCTCATGTCAAAAGAAACATGCGTTTCAGGTACCTGAGTATGTTGGGGTGGGATAGTCTGTTCATGAGCTGGACCTCCCTGAGCATGTTGGCTCTGTTACTGGCCAGGATGTTCATCTTCAGAGCCATCACCTGGCCAGTCACACGATGTTTCACCTGAATCGTACAAGACACACATAGATGCGTTTGTTTTGACCATCTGAAATGATTCACAATTTACACTCAAAACCAAGTTCAGCATTTATGTGTAGAAAAATCGAAAAGTTGAAGAAATGCATTACTGTGCACAACACATTTCAAGTTGCAGCTGGTAAAGGTGGAGCCAATGTTAACTACCTTATGTGCTTAGGAGGTCCTGCTGGGTAGCTTGTGAATTCTCCACCAAGGATCAATAGAGACCAATGATTATATTGTGGTTTCTTTATTAAACTGTTTCTGAAAAGTAACTATAGTTATCAAATATAATAGAGTAAAAAGTACAATATTTGCCTGTAAAATGCAGTGAAGTATGGAGTAGCAGAAAATAAAAATACTCAAGTACAGATATCTCAAATCTGTACATGTACTTGTTACTTTCCACCACTGCATGACAAAGCTCAGCTTTGTGATAATACTGTAAATCACATCAGTTACCACTTTGTGAAATAAAACAGAAGTACAGTGCTGAGTAATATTAGTGCTCAGGTGCTGTTGGAAACATTAGCAGGTCGCTTGAGTTTGTTCATTTGTTTTGGCTGCTTCTCTGCCCCGACCTGCTGCTAAGGCAATAGCTCCATCTGGTATGGTGGCCATGGAGACATGACATGCTTCCCCTCAGGATACACGTTAGAACATATTTGCTTGGCAAGAAACGCGACTTCCAGTGAAAACTACACAAGCAGTGCATGAGGACTAAATGCTCTGCAGAGATAAGTCAGAGGTGTGTGTGTGTGGAGCGAGAAATACCAGTACTGTATGTGTGTAATTACCAGTGTTAGATACAGTAAAAATGAGTGTGAAGACAAGAGCACTGGCATCATGGCTGTCATATGACCTCTTTTATTTTTCCCCATAATGCACTTTCTGAAAACAGCCATGCTAACTCTTATGAGCATTTTGCAGAGCACAACTACTGGTATTCCCTTTATTTGTGCAGGTCAAACTTTGATCCTGTAATGGCATGAAAAGGAAAAGTCAGAAGTTAACCACGGTCATTAGGACAGATTTTATATCTGTACCAAGTGTCATGGCATCTAATAGTTATTGATATTCCACTCAAAAAAGATAAATGTGAACCCCATGGTGCCGCTAGAGGAAAAGCCAGCCGGTCATTACGGAGATTTCCAGGGCACAAGAATGTCTGCCCAAAATTTCATAGCAACCCAACCAACGTCAGAGATGCTCGATCAAAGGGCCGATGAGCAACATTGTCCGGTTTGATCTGAATCAAAACCCTTTGACCACATACTTCCCAAATAAAACCTAAAATTTGCCAGTTTTAAATTTAATTTTATTAAAGCACAGCTATGTTTGGGCACCAGTTAACATTTGAGAACTGTGGCTTTTGTAGTATAGTGTCATTGATTTCTAAGAACACTTAGTCTTTCTTAAAAAGACCAGTCTGAGTAATAGCAGCTAATAATAAAGTCTTACTGGAGGTTTCAGGTTGTGGCTTCATTAGTGACATGAGAGTGTAATGAAAGACTTGGTAAGGGAGGAGGGGAGTGTGAATGGAGTCAGAAGTGTTGAGCTGAAGTCAGTCTGACACTGACCTGGATCTCAGCTGGGCCCTGGGTCAGAGTGGTGATGGGAAGCAAACCCACAAATCCCATTACAGACCAGACCAGACTGCAGCGAGTAATGCTATTAAAGCGCACGCACAGGGCAAAGGCTGCCCTCTTTATCTTAATAGCGCGTCAACCTCTCCTGCACTAAAGCCCATCTTCCTAAGGTCACTTGAGGACTTGAGCCTGTGGCAAAGTACTGTGCACATGCATGGATGCACACATGTAAAAATTACACATTGCTGAGTACAGTAGTTGCTTCCTCTCAAGAGAGGGAAGTGTGCACGGAAATCTAAACTTGCAGGAGTGTGGAGGGAGAGAGAGTGCAGAACTATCTCCACTTCTCTTTATATTGTATATTTACAGCACTTGGAGGATGAGGCAGACTCATGTAGGCTGCTAGATTAGGAGCTTCTTTTGCATTCTCCTGCTTCCATTAGCACAGAATCACAGGGCAAACAGGGCCGTGGTGAATTTACACCACACTTCCCTGGACACATCTGCCTTCTCACTTATGTGAGGAGAACGTTAACATGCAGTCCCAGCCACATACACATTCGGTGACTCACATAGTACAAACCTGAGCAAACTGCTGATGCTGCAGTGGTTGGAATTGCAGCGCTGCCTTGACTTGATCATTTTGTCCAAGTGGATTTTAGCTACTATACAAAACAACCTCACACTCATCATCATTACAGGGTGGGAGTCAGACTCAACACGGGGCTCAAGTGAGACTTGGACAACTTTTCCTTACATGCCGGCGTGATGTGTTGTAGCCATCTGAGAGGCTGCATGCCAACCGCTTTACTAGACATCTCCGCACATAGATAAAGATCACCCCATAATATGGAGCAATTACACACACAGACTTGTCCTCACATGCACATGCCTGGACACACCCTGAAGCTCTCCTTCAAACACACTCAGCCTTGTAAAGTGCTGCTGTCAGCAGAGAAAGGTCACAGACATCTCTTCGTCTCGCTCTGTGCAGCCATGTCTGTTATTAGCCGGTGCAGATGGAGGATGCACACAAGGGCAGGAGAGATGCATGTAAAAGGTCTGATACTAAAGCAGATAAGGCTGGACTGTATTAGCAGAGAATATGCTGGAAAACATGTTTCAGTCCCACAAAGTCCAGATTTTAAAGTGCTGCAATTCTGTTGGAGAAATACCAAATCCCATTGTTTAAGTAGATGTTTCTGGTGTAGAACAATCAGGATCTGAAGCAGGCTTGTAGGCTGGTGTGAAAGTCAAGACTAACTTCTCAGGATTTTTAAAACCCTCAAAATCCCTGAAATAAAACTGGCACGATATCAGTGTTCAGCAGAGGCCATTGTTATGTCATCAGCCCAACGTAGGCTTTCATAAATCTTAAAAACATAAAACCAACTTTAAAGAAACTCACACTGGAGTCTCGTGAGATGAAATGCATGAAGACCGCTTTGAAAGCTGTTCCCTGTAGCGACATCAGCTAAACGTTTGGATCTAATGGTTTTGCTTTTCAGTCAGTTTATTGTGGTACTTGCAAAACAAAGTACCTGACAGCCTGACTGGTAGTAACAGAAAGACAGGATCTACCATTCAAAAATGTAAACCACCATCATGAAGTATGCAGCATTAACCAGACAATAGCATCATTAGCTGCAGAATCAGCATTTCAAGCCAAAAACAGAAAAGCTTCAGCTAATTTGGCACGTGTGCTTTATACTTAGTGTGAAGACTGAGTCAAGCCCCTCGGGGAGCGAAGTGAACTTTGTGTGTGTGGTTGAGAATCAGGGAAATGACTCCACAACTCGGCTTAAGCCTTCGCCTGCAGCTCAGCTATCATTTACACCATAAAGAGGCACAAAATGTGTGTGAGCGCGTCAGAACAAGAACGCTTGTGTGCAGATAACCGAGACGAGGCACCTAGCCAAGCTGCGTCCATCAGTGAGTGAACGTGGAAATCAGAGTTTTGGACCCAGCACCTGGACAAAACAAAAACACACTGCACACTGACTTTTCAGATGCACCGTAATTAGTTCCACACAGTGAGGTGCACATGGTAATGCGAGAAAATCAGAGCCCTGGCTTTTAAAAGCCCAGGTAAAAATCAGAGCCCTTACAATAGAAGAGTTGTGACATTGATGGGTCAAGAATGGCAGCTAGTCATGTAGCTTCAAACTGTTCCAAACCACCATTCAGATCCATTGTTTTTTGTGGGGAACAGCAAGATTTATCACCAAATTATTACTTTTAATGACTTGTACAGCCTTGCAAACCTATTATGTGTTCTATTGTTGTAGATAGCTCCGCTAATTTAGTTGGGTACCTATTAAAAGTGACAAGATTTTATAGACAGTCAAAAGGTTGTAAAATGTGTTTTCACATGTCAAGTTTAATTATTGCGATCAATTTCAGCTTCTTACTTTAGAAGATAGCAAGCAACTGTGTAAAACTCTATGGCGCTGCTCCAAATGTTTGGAACTATTCTGTTCCCATGATCCGCCATTACTGAAAACAGTGGTCCTTAGAGTCATGGAGAGGTCATCGCTCTCCTTTATACACTCAGGGTACATGGATTTTTTGTAAGACATGAAGTTTAACATGCAACCAACTGCAACTAAAACCATTAGTGCAAGAAATACATGGCGTGTGGCTACGACACAGATAAGTGAGGGTGTGTGTGTTTTTGGTTGAATGATGATAACTGGAGGTCTGTTGTGCCACAAAAACATTTCATCACTTCTGTGATACTGGCTAGACACAACGCTGAGCCATTCTGTTTACCTTCTTACAGGGGAGCGGCCTTTCTCCAGGTTTATCCAAAAACTACAGCAGTGCCAACATGTGGATGTGAGGAAACAAACACACATACATCATCTCTTCAGATACATTAAAAAAAAAAAGAACAAAACAAAACAAAACACTACTCTGGTTAGCATGAGGAGGAGGACAGGAGAACAGCTGTGAAAGTCTTGCCCAACACTTAAACCCTGGTGCAGTTGAAATATTTTAAATATACAAGGTGGCTCAAGTGAAGACAGGAAGATCATGTGCTTGGAGCTTTCGTATTTGTGCGGCCGTGCACATCATAAACAAAAGCTAAATACTGCTGCAGCAAGTGGCAGCAGAGCAGGCCCTGACTGGAGTGAGGGTGGAGAGGAATAATGAGGGAAACGTACCACAATGCACTGCTAATGTTCAAGTCTGCACTGGCTCTCCCATAACAACAGGCACACACACACACACACACACACACACACACACACACACACACACACACACACACACACACCCTCCTAATCTCAAACACTGAAAATGATCATGAGCACACACTTGACAGCTCATGATGGATCGCGGTTTGTCTGTGTATGCACTTCCAAATAATCCGTTTGTTCCTCCTTTGTTGTC